TTTAACAGTTCCCTGCCTTATAGTATTAATTTTTGAAAATGTTTATTAGGTATGTATTAAGGTCACATGCTTAAGAAACGACTTATTGTGTTTGGTATTTAATGTTTGTTTACTCTACAACTGAACTATAAGCTACTTGAACTGATTTTCACCCCCATCATCCAAGACTATGCTAAGTACGTGACAGATGTGTAATAAAATTTGTTTCTGCTGAGATTTATATTTTCAGTGACAAATTCTCATAATAAAATGGGGCAACTAATGCCTGTCCTGTCTACCTCACATGGCATTGTAATGTTCACTAAACAGACAAGTGTCATACAAATGGTAACGTATCAGAATATAAGGGACCGTATCATAAATCAGGTCCTGAATATTAGCAACCCTAAAACAACTACTGAGAAAAGACAACAGACAAGTGAAAATCTATCCTTTCTCTTCCAAACACAGAGACAACCTAGTTAAACCACGAACAACATTTATTTTAAACATGGTTAACTGAAAAGTAACACAGGTAGAGTTCCTGGTAATGACCAAAGAGGAAATCTACAGCAGGGGGTAGGAGTTGAAGAGGTGTTTAGGTGTTGAAGAGAACCAGAATTTTCGCATACATCAGGAAAGGAGGCAAGGCTACTCTGTAAGGGACAAGAAGCCTGAAGTTCTGTCATCAGAACGCATCTTGGCTGCCAATGAGGACAAGAAATTGGCTGTCAGCAATGATGGTAACAATCAATTAATCTCTCCTATAGGAAAATAGGGTCTGAAGTTAACACACAATTGAAACCCCCACACCTTAAAACTATAGTGAAAACTGGTTGAGAACCTGGAACTATCTGAAGCCCTGACAGAGGCAACCACACAACTGGCCCTTAGGGTTGCCAGTCCCATCTAGGGCACATGTGTGTCCACTGCAGCAGATAATTCCCACTAAAGGGAGGCTCACAGGCAAACAATTCTTGTTTTAAATTCTTCCTGTTAGGCAACCTGTGCAGTGCAGTTCCCATCTCCTGACTGGATCCTAACTGATAACTGATAAAGTATACATTAAAAAATTTATGATAAAATTTTGCACAGCAAAGGACTAAGGATACCATCAGCAAAACGAAAAGACAACCTACAGAATGGGAGAAAATATTTACAAATGATGTGACTGACAAGAGACTAATTTCCAAACTATACAAACAGCTCATACACCTTAATATCAAAACATACAAGCAACCCAATCAAAAAATGGGCAGAAGACCTAAATGGACATTTCTCGAAAGAAGACATCCAAATAGCGAACAAGCACATGAAAATATGCTCAACATCACTAATTGTTAGAGAATATGCAAATCAAAACTATAATGAGATATTACCTCACACCAGTCAGAATGGCCATCATTAAGTCTTCAAACAATAAATGCTAGAGAGGGTGTGGAGAAAAAGGAACTCTCCTACACTGTTGGTGGGAAGGTAAACTGGTGCAGCCACTATGGAGTTTCCTTAAAAAACTAAAAACAAACTTACCATATGAGCCAGCAATCCCACTCCTGGGCATATATCCAGAGAAAAATAGAATTCAAAAAGACACATGCACCCCAATGTACATAGCAGCACTATTTACAATAGCCAAGACATGGAAACAACCCAAGTGTCCATCAACAGATGACTGGAATACTACTCAGCCATAAAAAAGAACAAAATAGTGCCATTTGCAGCAACATGGATGGACCTGGAGATCACCGTTCTAAGTGAAGCCAGAAAGAAAGAAGAATGCCATATGATATTGCTTATATGTGGAATCTTAATAAAAGGACACAAATGAACGTATCTACAAAACAGAAACAGACTCACAGACATAGAGAACAAACTTATGGTTACCAGGGGCTAAAGGGGGTGGGAAGGGATAAATTGGGAATTTGAATATTGGGGAGTGATGGAAATGTTAGCTATCTTGATTGTGATAGTGGTTTCATTGGTGTATACATCTATCAAAATTCATCAAAGGGTACATCTGAAATATGTGTAGTTTACTGTACAGGAACCATACCACAATAAAGATGTCTAAAAAATTTTTGACATAACCAATAAAATAGAACAACAACAGAAAAATCAACAGAGCTGAAATATAAAATTTCCAAATCAGTAGTGGAGAAGAAAGGGTAATAAAGAGACACCCCCCCTCAAAAAATAGGGAAGGAAAAAAGCAGCATAGAAAAATATGATAAAATGCAAAAGATGATCAAAAGACCTCTAAATATATCTGCAATCACAGTAAACCCACTAGTGAAACCCATGTCAAATTCCATGAAAATAAAGTATAGCTACATGCTATTTATAGATGTTTACTTCAAACACACAGAGGTGTTGAAAATAAAAGGATGAAAAAGATAGAAACCCAAGACACTTTAGATTTCTGTTTACATTAATGGTAGCAAACATTATATCTAATGGTGGAAACATTAGAAGATTTCCTTCTGAAATGTGGAACAAGAAAGGGCTGTTTTCTATCACCACTTCTACTCAGCACTACTGCCTTGTGTAGTAGTAAGGCAAGAAAAAACAGGTATATCAGACCAAAACTGTTGTTATGTACAGACAATATGATCATGAACATAAAAATCCAAAATAATTTAAAGGTAAACTACTAGATTTAATCAGAGAGTTTTTTTAGCAAGGTTGCTAAATACAAAGTAAATATTTAAAAATCAACTGTGGTTCTCTGTTCTTACAACAGAAAGTGAAATTTTAAAAAGATAATTTATGAATGTATAAAAGATCAAATACTATGAACACATCCAACAACAATCCCTATATGAAAATTATGAAACTTTATTAAGAAATGTTAAATAAACCTAACCAAGTGGAGAGTGATGACATATCTGGAGTTTGAAGACCCAACGTTACAGATGCTGATTTCTTCCACTGATCCTATGTTTAAAGAAAGCCAAATAAAAATCCCAGTAAGTTGTACATGTGTCTATCACTTGATAAGCAGATTCAATATACATGGAAATACAAAGGGTAGGAAGCCTTCAAATGGATAACAGTTTATTTTAAAGTTAAAATAATGAAGACAGGGGGGTAGTACTAGTGCAGAGAGAGACAACTGGTCCAAAGGACTAGAAAAGCGTCTGGTAAAAGACACACTCACACATAGGTAACCGAGTTATGGCAGAGGTAGCACTATGAGTAGAGGGAAAATGAGAGATTTTTCAAAAATGGTGCTGAGACAACTGAGTATCCATAATGAAAAATATAAAATGGTCCTTTACTCATACCACATTAGAAAACAAAACAAAACTCCAGGTATATGAGACTAAGTGAACGGCAAAACCATACAGCTGTAAGATAATATAGGAGAATAACCTGACAACTTGTGACTAGAGAAAAATTTCATAAGACACAAAGAGCACTAACTAGAATCTCTACACCTCTAACTCAATTCTCTATATTAAAATTAAGTTCTTCAGTTCATAAAAAGAAAGTAGAGGAAAATGGAAAGAGGACAAAGAAGACAACATCTGCAACACATGGCTCATGTCCCACATATATAAATAACTTATAAATCAATAAGACAGTTCAATAGAAAAATGAACAAAAGACATAAGCACTTCAAAAAAAGAAATACAAATGGCCAACAAAGGCGAGATGTTTAACTTCATTAGTAATCAGGGAAATAAACATTAAAGCCACACTAACACACTACACTGCAAAAAATTTAAAAAGTCTGACTTACCAAAAACTGGTCAGGATGTAGACAATTGGGAACTCTCATATATTAATGGTGGGAGTATAAACTGGTAAATCACTCTGGAAAAAAGTTTGGCATTGTCTTCTAAAGTTGAAATACATATTCTTTGTCAAAGTTGCCACATTATAAATCCCCAGAGGTTCCCTTCACATCCTTTATCTATAGAAACGGTACCACCTCCACTTGTTCAGGACACAGCCTCTGTGACTGTATACAGATGTGTTTTCCTCTAGGACACAGCAATTTTACCTCTTGGATATTGATTCCAGAAAACCTGCACAGAGGTGTACAAGCATGCACATACAAGAATGTTCACAGCAGTCATTCATAACAGCCAAGAACTAGAAACAACCCAAATGTCAATCCCCAGTAGAACAGACAAACGAATTATGGAACATTCATAGAGGAATACTAGGCACCAATGAAATTAAATGATCTGGACCTACAAACAACAACATGGATGAACATAATACTGAACAAAAGAAGAAAAATTTATAAGAATATGTACAAAATGATGCCATTTTTATAAAGTTCAAAAACAGACAAAACTCAGCTACCTTGGTTTAGGCATACAGACAAAAGTGGCAAAATGATTTAAAAAAATAAGTAAGTGATTAACGTAAGTCAGGCTAATGGCTACCTCTTGAGAGAAGGCACATATGGTGTGTGGGAGAGGCTGCTGGAGTGCTGGCAATGTTCTAATTTTTGGTTGTTGCATGGGTGTCCACTTTATTATCATTCATTACACTTGACATTTATGGTTTTTACCACACTGAGCATATGTGTTATATTCTGTAATAAAAAGGATTCATGAAATAAATGAAAAAGAGAAGTAAAAATAGCTGGCAACTATTAATTAAAAGAAAGGACAAAACTGCATTCAAGCTGAGAAGCATAAATAGTAATAAAGAGAGATTAATCTAGAAGATATTATCAACTATGAATTTACTTATAAGTACTTATAAAATAGGCCCAAAATATAAAAAATAAAATTCGACAAGTCCACAGAGATTTCAGTGTCTCCCATAAAGTAACAAATCAATCAGGCAAAAAAATGATAGAAATAAAGTAGATTTAAACAATACAATAGCACTGTATATACTTTTTTTTAAAGCACATGTGGAACATGGGGAAATTCATCACATATAAAGAAGCCACAAAGATTCCACCAAATTGCAAAGTTGCCCAAGGAAGGCTCAGCGTAGTAAGAGAATATGACTCATTATTTGTGAGGAATACAAATAAGTCACTGAGGACACCTCTGTTTGGAAATTCTTTACAAAAATTTTATTTAATATCTCATGCCCTTATAAAAAGTATATTACATCAAGACAGCAAAAAAGATTTTTTTATGAGAGACTTCTATCCACTCATCTATTTTATCCCATAATTCATTCCCTACCCTAACACAATAAAACAATTTTTTCCTTCTTCCTTTTCTTCCTCCTGATCTGAAAGGGCAAGTGTTATGAGGGATATCTTAATAGAATGTGCCACTTGCTTGCCAGGAAAGCAATTGCTTCCTGCTGGCTGGACTTAAGAGAGCCACTGGCATTCCTTGTTCCAGAACCAAAATGTCACTGAACTCTAAACTTAAATGCAACCTATTACTTGCACTATCTCTCCCTGGGTTTCTCTCTTACACACTGTACTTTAAAACAATCTTAAATGTTAAGCACTCAAGAATTGCTTAACAAATGATTAAAGGATCTAAAGTTAACTTCCTACTTAAACTTAGCAACTGTTTTCTATACAAGAAACTCAAAGTTAATAAAAATTTTATGGTTGGAGGACCCAATACAAAGAAGGGGATAAATTCCGAGAATAAATACATTTTATAACCCTTGTCTCAAAGTAAGATCCTACAAAATACTTAAAATGTTAAGAATGGAATTTACACAGTAAAAATGATTTGATTTGTTTTCAGTATGAAAGTATTTTTAATTTCCTTACTGCAGGTACAATGGCATCCAAGTCATCAATTTCTGTAACAGAAAAACAAGAATAATGAAAGAGTAGCTTTATCCAGTGTTAGGCTCAGATGAAATGAGAATCTCTATGCAAAAGCAAACCTCGAACACAAAGGCAACAACACTAGTCTTTCATCCATATGAAATTTTTCTCTGACAGTGGTGATAATATTACTGATTCAGACACAGATGCTTCACTGGGCAGCTCTTTGTAAAAGCTACCACATACCTACAAAAGCATCCTGACTCTGATATTAACCTCAGTAGCAGTGTGCTCTTATTAATAGTTCTTACTAGCCACATTTATGTTATTATGTTACTGCCTCTTTAAATCCGTATAATTACACAGGTGAGCCTCCATGGCGAAACCCCAGGTAGAGGCTGTCTCTCTCCTGGCTCCCCATCTGAGGATTTAGGGATTTCTTCTCTTGGAACACAGTCCTATCCTAATTCTCTGAGAAAGATTTCTCATTAGTAGGGTCGCTCTTAGGTCTACCTTTTAGGATGAACCCTATCTCCCTAAATAAAGCTATGTGGTGTCTCAGCACAGACCTCTGATGCGGTGCATCACAGAGCTTCGCCTGGTCCAGCATACCAGACATGTCAGGTTCTCCTCTGCCAGGTTCTTTCTGAATTTGACTTCTCTTCCTAAGACTATCTTCTTCCAACCAGCCTAAGTTGGAATTCACTGTCTGAAAGTTCCTGGTCACTGAGGAAGGAAGGCCCTTTCTCGTGTTATTCTTAGACTCCAGCTCTACTTAAGGTAAGTCCCAGTGGCAGGTTCTCTAGATTCTCACCACTTTTTTTCTAGATTTTGCTGAGCCACTGTTCATAAACTCACTTCCTTTATATTAAACATGCTTCCTTGGATTCCACCTCTCTCCTTCCATGTTTAGCTGGATTTGGTTGTTCTTCCTTTAGCCCAAACACGTGACCCATGCTGTTCATGCTCCTGACTTCAGTCAGAATTCTTGTCTGAATCCACTTACAAAGCACGAAGATATCGGGAAGGAGAAAATAAAAGCAAATCTACAACAGAGTTTGGTTCACACCTTACACTGTGGTAAGGTAAAAGATCAAGTTATTATTCCCTGGCCCTCATTCTGAAATCACAACTGCTTTCTCACCAAATGAAAAGGAGGAGGATCTCAGCTGATAGGAGAATTTTCTCAGCTAATCATACCACTTACATGAGAAAAAATGTCCTTCTCCATACCTGATATTCAGTACACCACTACTCTAGTTCTAGACGCTTAATATGACATCTAGTAATAATAAAAAGTCACGTTTACCAAAACAGACTTAACTTTCCCAATGTTAAATACAATATTTACTCCAGAATTTCAACTGTGACTAATACACAGAGTTCATCTGCATCAGATCCCACCTGCATCATACTAAGTATCATATCTGAGAGGAAGTTCCTATAGAAGGATTCTGAAATAAGTGTTACCAACACACTTATTAAAATGTTTATGACAAGAAACTCATTGCTTAAGTTATTGCTACCCCCAAAGCAAGGAAAATCAGATTACTCCACGAAACAAGGCTCTTCGAGATCTAAGGCAACACATTTCTACAATTTCACATTTCAAGTTTAACTTCCAAATTACATTTTCCGTCGCCATGATCTTTTTAAGTATATGAGCATGACTGAAGCGCACTCACTCACGTCTCCCTTGCTTCCAGTCTACATAAAACTGGCCACAAAACTTTACGTTCAACTTGGTTATATACTCCAGTCCACACCTCTTTCATTTATTCATCTTCTTACCCAATCTTAATTTACTCATTCCTTTCACTTCTACTAAACCTCATCTCCTCTCCTAATCTAATTTCCTATGTCAAGGAGCCATTCTTAAAAAAAACTTTCAATTTCAAATTAGTTATACATAAAAAAAGAATTCATTAATGAATAGATCACTTTACCTTTTAAAAAGTGCTCTTAACAATGAAATAAATTATTTTTATAGCCATATATAATCATACTTAAAGTAACAGACCTGGGTCTCTATTTTGCCTATGATTCCTAAGCAAACTTACATTTTTTCCCTTTAAGAGAGATTATTACTAACGAAGCCCTCAACCTGACCAAGAGTGTAAATGTATCTCTTCCCTTTTACAGATTATAAATTTATGTCCTTTCTACAGATGTCTACTTTGTATTACTTTAAGTTACTATTACTTTAATTTGTGTATTTAAAAAACACAGTAGATAGGAACTATCTTAAAAAAAGGAGGAGAAGGAAAGGAAACAAGACATCTTCCAAGATCATAAATTCTACAGACATTTCCCATTAGGCAATGACAGAACCAGGGTTAAACCGGGACTAGCCAGAGTAATGCCATTTCTCATTTTAAAGTCCTAAGACAAAGGCAGCCTCCAGCTTCTTAAAGGTTCTGTGCTTCTCTGTTATGTACACTAATCCCAACCAACCCTAAGGGTAAGTTAGAAGTTCATTTCTAGAACTGTTAGTGGTTTCCAGACACTCAAGGTGAAAACACTAATCCAATGACTAAGGCACACTCTTCCCTCAAACTCACTGAGGTCAGACTCAAAATTTAACCACCACCATCAGAAGTCTTACCTAAGATTTCAAGTAGATCATTAGTAAATGCCTGAAACGCTGGGAAAAACTCCTCATGTTCTTCCAATTTGTTGATAATGCTTTTAAAAAAAAATGCACAGTTTACACTGAATTTCCAACTTAGGGTTCTTGCATCTCATTGGAAATAGAACATTTCAAAATGGAAAGAAATTGTCCTGCTAATTTAAATATAACTTTAATGATCATTTACTGCAATCCTTCCTTTTTGAGCTCTTTGTTCATCTAATAACACTTTTCTAAAAAAAAAAAATCTTATTATCAGTGTAAACCATTCCAAAGTTAAATTTATGTAACATTCCTAATATGGGAGACTTTCTATTTAGCTTGAGGATTCTTAACAGACCATGCTTTTATAACATTTTCTAAAAATAACTGGCATTTATAGCCAATATTCTATTAAACTTTAAGAATAAGTACCAGTAATCAGTAAAACTGTGGGAAGGGGAAAAAGACCAATAATGAGACACATACTCCTTTTAAAAGCATCAAGTATCAGAAGATTCAAGTGTCAGATTAGGCAAGGGTTCTTGGAAAACTTGCAGAACTTATGGAATAGGTGGTATATGTGTGTGTTCCCCTACCCACAGGCTGCAGTATAAAATCTGGAGGAGGGAGGAAGAGGACAGCTATATTTTGATATTTAAAGAAAAAAATCAGGATTTATGTTGATGATGCCTAGCTTAAAAAAAATTCTTAACATCTTCTAATCAAATAATATACATACCATTAGTAATCATTCAGGAATTTATGGTAACATACTAAAAATCAGGCTTGTTTATATATTCTGAATTTACATGAAGTTACTAACAAGGTTTGAATTTCCCCATATATAGTTTTCTTTGGGAACAGACTTATAGCAATGATGCTAGAGTCCTGACCCACTCTATGTAAACTTACAGGCCCTAGAATCTATTTTTATCTTGAAAATACTTGACATTCTCTCTATCCCTAAAGTGTGAGATTATTTTAGGTTGTCAAATTACTTTTAAAAATGCTGTTCCAAAAAAGGAAAGGTAAATAACTTATGAAGTTTTGAAAGTCTTTAATTTCACCATTCCAAACATTCTGGATGATACTTTGCAAATTTTTACAGTAAATACCTTTGGAGGTCTTCAGGTCCTAATACCTGCATAACCTGTTCATTCACATCTTCATTAATCAGCCTACACAATTTTCCAACTGTGCTCACAAGCACACATAATGAGGATGAACTATCTGCAAAAGGGAAATAAAAGGATAAGGCATTTTAAAAGAGAACTTGCAAAATCATTAAATCAAACTCTTTATGCATTAGTTATCCTCAGTTTTTTCTTTTTTAACCTACTTTTTGTTGACTTATTAGGAATAATTCTTAAATGTGGGGCCAAAAATGACAAAGGATCATCACCTAGTTCTAAGAGTTCCTGGAGGTTTCTCACAGCATTGTTCATTTCTCCAAGCCTAGTATAAACTTCATTCATTCGGGGATAGACTCCAGTTAAAGAAGGCACATCAAATAATTTTTGGAAGTGAGAGACAATAGCTTGCAAAATTTGAACGTTTGGCATATTACTGTCCTGCCCAGAAGAGAGGAAAGAAAAGAAACATAGTTCACATCTTAATTCCAAATCTTTGATAAAAAGTTTAAAAAGAGAACTAGAGTTCTAGTAGAACAAATACCTTATCCACATCATTATCAGTTGCTAAGACTAGATTACATTAAAATGTGAACATTTATGTAAGTATTAGGTAGTATTACCTTTTCCTTATTTTCAACTTCTTCTAACATGGTATCTACTATAAACAACAGATCTTCAACTTTGATACCTTCATTTTCATCCTGCTTCTTTAAATTATGCCAAGGCACCAGTTCGGTAGAGAGTAGTTTCAAGGACTTATACAAATCCTTCACAACAAAAGAAATGACATGCTCTTATTGATTAAAAAATAGTAGCTTCTATATAATGCTAATAAAATGTAATTATCCAGGCAGGTTTAATATATATATTAACCATCATCAGTACTTAAAAAAATACCATTACCAGTTTTGTTTGTTTGTTTGTTGGGGGGGAAGTAATTAGGTTTATTTACTTATTTATTTTAATGGAGGAGCTGGGGGTTGAACCCAGGATCTCATGTATGCTAAGCATGCACTCTACCCATCCTGCCCTCTCACTAGCAGCTTAGAAAAAGTCTGCTAAATTAGTTTTCTCCAGGAAAATACAGGCCTTACAAAAAACGTTATACATAAATTGATTACCTCAAGTGTGGATGTTTAAAGTGATATGTCATTTATTAGTAGTATATGTTATTTATGTAATTATTTTGAATTACTGATGAATAAAAATAAGCTTGTCCTTTATATTTTATCCTTGATTTTTAAAATAACAGATTTATTAAGATATAATTCACATGCCATAAATTTCATCCTCTTTTAAATGTACAATTTAGTAGTTCTGATTTATTTACAGAGATGTACAATCATCACCATTATCTAATTCCAGGACATTTTCATTACCCCAGAAAGAAACCCTGTACCCACTTGCAGTCATTCCCCATTCTCTCCTGCTCCCAGCCTCTGGGTAACTACTAATCTACTTTCTGTTTCTATGGATTTGCCTATTCTGGGCATCTCACCAAAAAAATGGAATCATACAATAAGCAGCCTTTTGTGACTACCTTCTTTCACTTAGAATACTGTTTTCAAGATTCCTCCATGTTATAGTATGTATCTATACATACTATATAGTTTGTTTGAAAGGATGCCTAAGTTAATTCTACTTAATCTTCATGACCGCCTCCTTAGTTTTCTTGGCCTAGACATGTTGTCCTAATCTATTTAAAACTGTGCACATAGGGCAAGGCTCCTGGAAGTTTAGATCTCTAAGACTAGTCAATTAATAAAGAAATATTTACTGAGTATTTACTATGTGCATGGCATAGTGTTTGGCCCTTTAGAACAATGCTGTCCAAAAGAAATGTAATGCGTGTCACAGTAATACTGTCTACTAGCCACATTTAAATAGTGAAAAGAAACAAGAATATGAAAACAAATATATGTATGTCTATGCATGACTGGAACATTGTGCTGTACACCAGAAGTCGACACACTGTAACTAACTGTACTTAAATTTAAAAAAAAAAGAAAGAAAAAGAAACAAGTGACATTAATTTTAATAATATATTTAACCCAATATATCCAAAATATTTTAATTTAATGCATAATATATTAATTTTTTTCTACACTAAGTCTTCTAAATCCGGTGTGTAATTTTATACTTGTAGCACATCTCAACTGAGACTAGTGCTATTTCAAGTGATCAAAACCTATGTGGTAGCAGTTACTGTATTAGACAGTACAACTCTACAATACACAAAGAAGTACAAGGAATTCTTACTTTTATCAACTTATTTTAGTTCTCCACTTATTTAACACTCTCCAAATAATAATGCCCAGACCTCACATATTGATATCTTTAACCTTTCATTTGGTGAGAAGGCAATTATCTACTTTAGCACTTCAAGGCAATACATTTCAGAGTCAAATAAATATGTTAAATAATAACTGCCACCAGAATTTGAAAAAAAAGTCAGGAAGCCAAAGCATAATGATGTCTTCATTAACCAATACTCCATCAATAAGGTGCAATTATAAAGAAATGGTCTATGGTAAAAGCACACTAAATATAAATTTTTGCTTGAGAATAAAAGTATTACAAAGTTAAGGAGAAAAAAAAAAAAAGATGTTCCAGTCTACTTAGCAGTGACAGGAAGCTGGTAGTTTCACAAACGATCAAGCAAGTCCTGAAAAATCTAGATGAGGGCCTCCTAGGTTTTCCACATTGCTCAGTTGTGGGGATGTGGAAGTACAACCAAGATCCTGTCTGACTTTGTGTGGCTGGGGAATGGGAATGGGAAAGCCACAGCGCACAGCTGTTCCAGTGTCCCAGGCTGGAACAGCTACAGTGCCTGTAGCTTACTTTTCCCAGGAAGGTCGGTGGCAAAGACGGAAGGAGGCAGATACCTAGCTCCGTGCTTTCCCTATCCTCTTTTAAGCCAAATCTAACCTGAGTAAAAGACTAATCTGGGAAGATGGTTGTCCCAAAGTTAGAGGCTACCACAGTATAGAAAATCTTTCATATGAGGCAACCTCAGAGAATCTCATGTAGTTTCTCAATATGGATCCTGATTCTGCAGTACAAGGTAAAAAAACACCTAAACCACTTTCTAAAATCCATGAGGTTACTTTAGTGGTAGAGCCACTAAATATCTCCTGGGGAGTGGTCCTCAGAATATTCTAATTAAAAGTTAATTCTTCTTGTCTCCTAGTGGGAAAACTATACAACAGTAAGAACGCATCACTACTGTAAAGCTTTTTGGGGGGCTCTTCTTCCTCCAAAAACTACAAGTTATCCATATCATTCACTTGGCACTTCATTGTGTACTGTTTTCATGGCATTCATTTCTTCTAATGATATCTTGAATGGTTAAGTTTTATTTCATGTTTTTTAGTATGTTTTCTCTCTCTATTTAGTCTCAATCTTGTGCTCACCTTTTCTAATACCTCTAACAGTGTAGTGCCTTGAACATAGTAAATAATCAATAACTATCTACTTATTTGTCTCCTCCCTTTGCCCTTCTCTCCTAGTCTTTTCCCTTCTCTTGAGAAGGCTGGGGCATTTTCTAGCCCATCTGCCCTGAGAAGGAGAAAAGTGGAGTTAGCACTGTTCCCTCCTACTGGGAGAACCCCCTGATGAGCAATAATTGGGAAAAACACCATGATTTACATAATCAACCACTAATTTTTTCATCCTCTTCTGAGACAAACTGGAGGAACTCAGGCCTATAAAATAGGTATATTGATCCAATGATGTCCCTTAATTAAAGTATTTTCTGTATTACAGCTCTATCTGAGCCCTATATAAAAAGGGAAGGAGAAATTAGGCTGAATGTGCAGTTCATCATTTACAGGTATGTTTTCATTAAAAATTTTTAAAAATTCAGTATTATCTCCATTTTATTGTCTCGGAATGTGTTATTCTGTTTCCCTCATTTCAGAAATATTGAACACTTATTATGTAGCAGGAGGATCCTGGGACATATAAGAGAAAAAGACAAAATTCATGGAGCTTACACACTCTGACACAATCTTCTGCATCACTTGTACTTCATGTAATAGGGCTTCTGTTGACAAATACTATTACTTAATCACATCCTCATGAACAGAGGTAGTGCTATATATATTTATATATATGTTATTGAGAAATCTAAAGTTTTAAAGGAAACAGAAACTAAATACTATTACTTGATCAATTCTCCTATCAGTGAACCACTCAATGAAAACTAAAAAAAAAAAAAAAAACCTAAAGTTATATAATCAAGAATACAAGATGACTCTATAAAGTGAAGAGATTTTAATCTTCCAAGGATAGGGTAGGCAGGACTAGTATTTGCTCTAGAGAAAAGACAGACATGGAGATAAGCTCAGTTCTGAGAGAAGAAAAATAAAATACGAAGAGAGAAAAAAAATCCCCAATTAAAGTGGAATAAAGGTTAAGACACTACATCCAAAGAGGAACAAGAGCCAGGAAAATCTGTAGCATGAGGACACCAAAGAGGGAGATGAAAGTGGAACAGGGAAGAGCCTAGAAGAGTAACGTGAATCCTCTATAGATTTGCAACTTTGCAACAGGACTAAAAAATGTCTTGCTTGGTAGAACTTTACAGAGGCAAAAATATGTAAATAGCAAGGTTCATGTTTTACATAAGCTAATCCTTTTATAAGTCTTCATAGTTAAAACAAACAAAAAATTAAGCCTAGTCCTAGTAATAAAGCCCACAGACACCAATAGATTTTCAAAGCATGTAAAGTATATCAGCCCCTTACCTTCAAGGAAATCAGTTGATCTGCCCACATTTCTATTATAGGAACAAGATGCTCAAATCCACAATCTTGAACAAGATCTTTATTAAAATGTTGGGCTCCTCCTTTGCTCTGTTTATAAATGATTACTGGAGCTCTTGGATTATGAATAATTGAATTGATGCTACTCAATACCTTTAAAAAAGACAGTATTTTTAGTTGAAATGTTTATCACAGTCCTATCAAATATATGTATATGTATGTATATATGTATATGTGTGTGTATGTGTGTATATTTATATATTTGGGGGGGGCATTGGCCCACAGAAAAGGAAGTAATGGTGTGCCAGCTTGGAGCCCAAGACTCAAGGGCCCCTGATCATTTCTGGTGTCTCCCGTTGAGCTCTGCTCCCATGGGGACAAGCCCAGATGAAATGGTGGATGATGAAAGACGCATGGCCCAGTCACCCCAATCACCCTGATATCCACCCAACTCTAGCCACTTAGCTGACTTGTATCTGATAGCAGATGCATGAAGGAGCCCAGCCACAAGGAACAGAACTGCCCAGCTGTCTGAACACAGTATTAAAGGGTTGTTATTTTATTTTGTCACTAAATTGTAGGAGGATTTGTTACATGGCAAAAATGAACTGATACCTATATAAAGATGGCCTAGAGCAAGGAGAGGAGGCAGCAACAAGAGAGGCCTGCCATTTTACACTGTGGTAGGGTAAGATACACCCTGTGGCCACGTGGACACTTTGGAAGACAGTCAAGCTTTGCTTTCATGATTAAAAACAACAACAACAACAACAACAACAACAACAACAAAACTACCTAGAGCTAGAGAAACCAGGAGAGTGTCATTTGAACAAGAGAAAGAGACAGATACATGAGGTCAGCTGGAAAATGCACTGCCCACAGAACGGTACATTGCCAAGGTCCCTAGCTGGTAGGGGCTACACACACACACACACATATACACACACACACACACCACACACGTGTGTTCCATGAAAGAGAAAAACAGGCAGTATTTGGTCATTAGGCACACAAAGGGCATCAGTGCTAGACTACACCAACATCAGTCAAGAAAGAGTCTACCCTTTTGCTTTCTATTCTCACCCAACATCCACTCTCACTGCCACCCTGGAAGCAGCTAGATACAGCAGAGAACTAGGAGAGAAGGGGAGCAATGAGAATAAAGAAACAGATCACAGTTCCTTGCCACACTGCTTATTAAAAGAAGTGTATGTCAGACATGAGATAAACTAAGCATAAGGCAGAAGCTTTGAACTGGATGAGAAATTGAAGATCTAACTGAGATCTGAATGACCTTTTCTCCCAATTTTTCATCAAGAAAATTTTGAAACATAGAGAAAATAAAATATAAATAGTAAATACTATAGTAGTCAGGGTTCTCCGGAGAAACAGAACCATTAGGATGTTTTATGTGTGTGTGTGTATTTATTTATTATAAGGAACTGGCTCACACAATTATGGGGGCTGACAAGCCTCAAGATCTGCAGCCAGCAACACTGAAGACCCAGGAGAGCCAGGGGCATAGTTCTAATTCAAATGCCCTTAGGCTTGAGACCCAGGAGGATCCAATGTTTCATTACAACATTTGAAGGCAGGAAAAAAAATTGATGTCCTAGCTCAAAGTTAGTCAGGCAGGCAAAAAGTTCCCTCTTCCTCAGCCTTTTTGTCCTGCTCAGGTCTTGTCCTACTGATTGGATGAAATCCACTCACATTAGGGAGGACAACTTGTTTTACCCAGTCTACCATTTAAAAGGTTAACCTCATCTAGAAATATCCTCACAGACACACCCAGAACAATGTCTGATCAAATATCTGGGCACCCACTGATCAAGCCAAGTTGACACATAAAATTAACCATTCCAAGTCCACCCCTTGTCAACCTGGCACCCATACACTTTGCCTTAAACCATAATTAACCTCCAAATTAAGACAATACCAAGATCACAGATCACCTAACATGATACAAGTATGCACTGTACAACCGAAAATGCACTAACCCCTTCGCCAGAAGAAGAGGTAAAGTCCTAAAGTGATGGCTACTCTTCTCCTTGATGCTCTGTAATTTAAATATTAAGATATAAAATTAACAATAACATAAAGTCAATACACCTTATGTTATATGGTAGGAGAATACTAGCAGGAAGAAAACAAACATATTTGTCATGTACATATATGTATGTTTGTGCATATTTATAAACATATACACATACACACATGTGAACATATTTATAACAAAATAAGGAGGAAATACACATGCAATTATAATCCTCATTTCTGTAACTCATTATGTGGTCAGACATATTTATCACTACTTTCTTCCATTACCTATTCTTGATTACCTTTGCCTTCAGCAAGCACCTCAGCTGGTTCTGGTTCTTTACTTGCTGGGATAAACCAAACCTTCACTCCTAAGGGTATGGACCATTAATAATTCTACCTGGACTAGGCTGTTGGAGTTTTCCATTTATCATTATCACAAGGTGTGGCAATACTAAGAGTTGCCCTAAGGGATTCTCCTATTTTCTAGACATTCTCTTCCTTTCCTTCCTTGTGGCGTATTAGTGCACACTCGAATACATTATACATTTAACAATTAACAATAGTTCCCTAATACCATCAATGCCTGGACTGAATTTTAAATATCCTAATATATATAATACGTGACTATAACCACCCCTGCCAAAAGCTCTGAGTTTTATCTTACGTATCACTGAAGGAGAAGAAAAGGAGACTCAAAACAGCCAGTTCAAAGGGAGAAGAGTTAAGCCATTTCCTTATTTACCACCAGCAAGCCCAGCCCATTTGACAAACCATACCATTTTGATACTGAATCTTTGTCCCTACTTATACGTCAAGCTACAACTCATAGGTCTCCTAGTAATATGACTTTGGATGTTAGAGCTTTTTTTTTTAGTTCAAGAGCGTGTATTTTGACATTTCACTTCTCTTATATATAAACATATCTTTTAATGGAAAAGTTAATTGATTCCCCTCCACTGAATTATTATTGACAGCAGAGTATATTCTTCTTTATGACTTAACCACACTCTGATGACTGGCAGCAAAAGATGTATTAACAATGAATAAATGGTAAAATAACTTAATTCTCAAGAGACATTGGAATTAAAAAAAAAGAAAACTCACAACATAGGTCTTATTCAGTAAGAGTTTGCAGGTACTAACAAATTCTTGGTATGAGTTAAAAAATATTTTATAAGGGTAATCATTATAAGAATAGAAAAGAATTAAGATGATGAATTTCCTAACTCCTTGAAGAGAAGAAAAGAACAAAGAAACCTCAACCTAGCAAATGTCAGGAAAAGAAAAAAATAGAACAAGAAACTGTATAAACAGAAAACAGGAAGTAAGGTATCAGGAATAAAAGTAGATATATGAGTTGGTCTCAATGTTCATGAATGGTTTAATTCCCTTATTAAAGGACAAAGCTTCTCAAATTGAATCTAAGAAACAAAAGGAAATTCAGCTATATACTGAATACAAGAAGCTATCTAAAACAAAACAGTTTTCACAAAGGTGCCTGGACATAAAATCAACACAGATATATATGAAGAACCAGTAACAATCAATTAGAAAAGAAAATGGAAAAAAGAGCCCATTCACAATAGCAACAAAATATATAAAATACCTAGGAAATAATCAGAACAAAAAATATACAAGAGCTAAATTTAAAAATATATAAAATTTTACTGAAGGCTATAAAGGAAGACCTAAATAAAATTAGAGACCTATTTCTGAGTGAGATGATTCAAAGCTATAAATGTGTTATTTTTTCAAATATTAATCTAAAAAGTTAATTCAATTTCAGTTCATCTCAATGGGATCTATTTTTGAAGATGACATATTGTTCACACAGAAGAATAAATGTGCTAAAGACATAGCCAAGGAAAAATTTTAAAAGAACAATAACAAGATACTTTTCCTAAAAAGTATCAAAACCTATTATGAAACTACAAAAATTTTAAAAGTATGAAAATAATATAGAAATAGAAGAAACTAAAGAGTCTAGAAACAAACCTATGTATATAAGGGAACGTGTTATATTATAAAGGTTTCATTTCAATAAAGTAGAGGAAGAATGGTCTTTTAGAAACTGCAAGCTCAAATGCCTGTAGAAGCCAGATAAGAGCATAAATGAACGAAGCAAAGATGGGTTGGGACTGTGGCTAACTGAAGAGCAGATGCCCATATGTGACAAGGGAAAGGCCTCATTCTGCTTTGATAATGACTATGCAGGAATTTGTTGCCAGATGCTCTGGGTTTTTAAGAGAAACTAGAAATAAGGCCTTAGGTAAAATATCTTAATTTTTAAAATATTAGTAATTTAAAAAAATTTTAACTAGTATAAGGGAATATTACTCGGCCATAAAAAAGAATGAAATAATGCCATTTGCAGGAACATGGATGGACCTAGAGATGATCATACTAAGTGAAGTAAGTCAGACAGAGAAAGACAGATATCATATGATGTTGCTTATATGTGGAATCTAAAAAACAAAAAATACAAATTTTATTTATAAACTAGAAATAGCTCATGAACACAGAAAACAAACTGTGGTTACCAGAGGGGATGAGGAGGAAGGGATAGATTAGGAGTTTGAGATTAAGAGATACACATTACTATCTGTAAAACAAATCAACAACAAGGACCTACTGTACAGCACAGGGAACTATATTGTTTCTTGTAATAAGCTATAATGGAAAAGAATCTGAAAAAAGAACACATGTATATATATATATATATATATATATATATATATATATAACTAAATCGCTTTTCTGTACACCTATAACTAACATTATAAACTGACCACACTGCAATAAAAAATAAGAATTAAACAAAAACCTGTATGGGCCCAGTAAAATATGAGTACAGGCCAAGTTCAGTCAGTAAACTACCACGTTTAATTGCTCATTTATTCAAGAACAAACAGTGTATAAATCAAGTAGGTTAGATCTCTACCTGATACCACACAGAAAATTGGATTTCAGATAGACTAAATATTTAAAGAAAAAACAAAAGCATACAAGGGCCCTGAGAAATAGATTACTTATATAATAATATCAACAACAGCAAAAACAAAAACAATAAAAAGGAAAATGGCTTAAGCAGGGAGAACAGGGAAAAAAGGATTATAAAATCTTATCAGATTTTTACTACCCTACTTCGAATAGGCCAAGGTCTCTTTTCAGGGGTAAGACAAATTTTAAGTCAAGCCAACTAGGTACGTCATGGCAAGAAAGACAGGCTAAGCACACACATATACAGATACAAAATAATCCTTACCAACTGATAATTTATTACACTGTGATTGAAACCAAGATTCACTATAAACACCAGTCTTTCTGTCCACTGTTCAATACCTGAAAGTATCTCTGGTCAGTTAGGGCCTGCTGCTGGTTATCTTCACTGGGTTCATCTTTTTCCTTTTTGTCATCAGCCTTTTTTTGACTGATAAGATCTTGTAATCTAAAGGGGAAAAAAATAACAAGATAATACAAAATGCTTTACTAGACATTGGATTAAGATGACAAAATGAGCTAATGATCCAGTTACCCCCCCAACAGCTTTATGTCATTTTACATATATGTGTGTGTGTGTGCATGCACACACATGCATACATTCATATATAAATTTTTTTAAAATTTTAAACTATATTGTTACTGGAAAACAAATTCCTCTCAACACATGGCAAACTGGAAGGAGTCTCTGAAAACAAAAGGAAACAGACTGAGGAATAAAGTTCTAATCACTCCTCCGCAACACTTCGAAAAAACAGAATAGAAAAGAACTACAGCAAAGGATGGAAGCAACGTCCAAGGTGCTCCAAGCTTGGCGGCTATAGTTAAGGGGAGCAAGAAACTATGGGCAGGGCAATTGGTACTTCATTCTTCATACTCCACTTGTGCCAAAGAGCTGGTAACAGTGATACCTGGGCCAGTCAAGAGGACACGGAAACCCAAAAGAGTATTGTTCCAGGTGGCATCAGAACTCTAGGGGAGAGTCTCTTTGCCCAGAAACCTAAAAACATATGGGTGTATCCACCTACTAGCAAACCCTTGCCCTTCTCCAAATATCTCTAAAGTCAGGCTGTAGTAAACACTCCTCCCCACCTACCCACTAAGCCTTTGAAAAAAGTCTGTTATTAAATCCCCTTCAAATTAACATTCTTAAATTTGAGTATGCCTGTTTGTTTCCTATGGATCTCTGACCCATAAAACTGATTCCATGGCTCATTCGTAAGCTCAATTTCCCATTTCTAAAATAGAATAGCAATATTCCATCTACCTACTAAAAAACAATGGCTTTCCATTGCTTTATGAACTAAATCTTACCTCCTTGGCTCAGCATTTGGACTTCTCTGTGCTGTTAGTCCTAACCCAATATTCCTCCTGACTCGTTTCTTACCTCATCTCTTACTACTGTACTACAATTATCTCCTCCACTCACATGTATTCCCCTTGACTGCTTTTCTCTGCTCTCTGGTGACAGCAAAACAATATGCCAAAAACAAAATAAATAGAACTGGCTCCAGGTAAAAACCTTCTTCCTCTAGTAGACACAAAGATCTCACAATCTATTTTCTACTTGACATCCTACCTGTTTACCATATTCACATACTTGACAGTTGTGCCTAAAGGCAGTGCTAGGAGGATATTGTCTAGAACACAAAGTGACATAGAAAAGCCAATATACTCTCTAGCGGGACTACAAGTAAATGGATACATCCAAATTTAAATGTTACTTAACCTTTTAATCTGGTGAAAATGTTAAACTTATCAATGAACTGTTTTTAAATCCGATTAGTAAATATTATACTATGGACATATAACATTTTAACTGCCAGTACAGTAAGCTAAATATATAATTGCATGTACTAACTACAGTCACTGGGAAATAAAATGTGATCTAATTATCTAGATAAATAAAGAGATATCTTAATTTAATAATGACGATAACTAACATTGGGAACATGGTGATAATGGTAATTAGTATTTCTTGAGTATTTCTAAGTAGAAACTCTTCTAACTAAGCACTTCTCACGCAGTAATTTATTTAACCCCATTGTTTTTCTAAATTTACAGAAGACAAGGATTAAAGCCAGGGAGTCATGGGAAATTGACCTTTGGTTCACCTAATCTCACATAAATATCTGCCATAGCATTATACTCCTGAAAACCGTTATATTTTGTAAAACCACATGTGAAAATAACAGGGCTCAGGAGAAAAGCAGTGTTAGAAACCAGACTATTTAAAACCGGTGAAGGTCTGTAACTAGACAACTAACAAAAACAATAATTGGTGCCTTAGGAGGCAAGTTAAGATAGCTCAAGTATGTTCAGAGGTCACACAGACAACAAAGCAGAAATGTTAGCTTGAGGATGCTGAGACTATGAAGATGCAAGTGGAGCTCCTGGCCAGAGAAGCTAAGGTTAAAACAGGTGAGGGAGGAAGTGCAACTTGGCTTCAGCCTAGAGTCTATCTAATGCTGAGGGTCAGGGAGGGAGCCCAGGATGCAGTTTCTCATTTTAAATTTTCTTAAAACAGAGATGAAAGGGCAGTTGCCTTTGAATAAGCAAAGATTTCCCCCTTCCTCAAGTCTAATCTATAATGCCATTCTAAGTCCTTGTACCCAGGAAAAAATCACATGTAAACAATGCAACTTCTATGTTAATCATTCCCTTATTTTCCAATTGTATATGACTTAATTGGTGACTTAGAAACCTATGTTTGAGCAGAGTAACTGTACTCAGAAATACATGAGGGTTGTTTTGTAGTCTCCAGAGTAGTGAGCAAAGCTCAAAGGCCATAAAAAAATCCCCAAAGGTGGCTAAGAAATTCTTTACAAACTTAAGCAAATACTCATTCCATGTAGCCAGCAGCAACAGCTGTTTCTTTGTGGAGTCTGGGAAGTCCAGAAAACTGCACTTTCAACTTAAAACACTGTGTTGTCTCCTCTTTCCTACAGTCATCTCCATAAGTTTCTATGTGCAGACACTTTAGAGCTTTTAACTGTTTTGAAGCCTTTCCATGATCCTGTGATGATTCCAGTTCTGGAGTTCTCTTTGTGGGCTGTGGGAAGCTTTAACTGAAACACTTTTTTTCCACACTGACTCAGTATTTTCCACTTCTAGCCCTTCTCCTAGGCCCGTGAAATAGCAGGAGTCTTTTGTTCAGGGCTCCAAGGCACGAGATGTTTCCTTCCATCTGTGCAGCATGTCACTGACTGACCCTTGCCTGGTGTCATTCCATTAAGAAAATGGAACACTGAGGAGCCAGCCCTTTCCTTTCTGGTCTCTTGTTTATATGACTGAAGTAAGTGAATAAAGCCTTGATTGTTCATTTCAGTTTGGCTCATTGTCCTAACTGACCACCTCAACTCCTGTCAGTTCAAAACCAGGGTGATGGGATTCTGATTTTATTTTCTTCTGGCAAAATATAAATATCATACCACTGAAAAATTACATGGAATTTAGTTTAGTACCCTTGGTTATCTTGCAATAGCAAACCTATCTGATCACTTCCTGACAACAAAATTTTATAACTAACCTGTTTGTAACATTAACTCAAACAAGAAGAGTCCAAATTTCTTCCATGTTAAATTAATAGCCTCATTTGATATTGAAGGTTGGTTAGGTGAAAGGTAACTACAAATCTAAAGAAAAAAATTTAATTTTCTCTGGATGTAAAGGGAAAGAGACTTTCCCTTCCTTTTCTTGTAGCATTTCCTTTGGAAAACTTACAGTTGTAAATCGTTTCTATGTCTAAGAATATGTAAATCTTGTTATGATTTACATAAGCCTCCTGCTAATTTTATATCCTAGGAATGTCTTCTTGGGAACCTTGGAACCACTTCTTTGAAATGTGGACAAGACGATGCCTTGTCTCCTTTCCCCTATTGGAGCTTAGCCTAGGCTCCTGGCTCTAAGATACTGCTTGTCATAAATATATGAGTTTTTCCCCCCTTTGGATAAAGAAAGTTCACATGTATGTAAGGGACTATATTTGCCTGGCTATATTCTTTCTGCCTTTGCAATCCCTTTAGACTGCCTCTAATGCACATCATAGTCCAGATGGTTATTTATTCCAACTGTTACATAGAACTGTTTATAAAACTTCATTTTTTTCTACATATGTGGAAAGGATTCATTGGATTAACAGAAGATTTTTATTTTTAATTATTTCACTAACATCAGGAGTTCTTTGAGAAAATATTCCATCTCTGCCCCTGCAGAAAATAAAAATTTGGAATGTTTTTTCATTGGGTTGAAAAAAAATTTACACTGAAATTTACATTGAAAAAAATTTTTTCATTGGGTTGTTCTGTCTGATTCTAATTACTAAACTGGCGATTAAGAGCATGACCTTGAGATTCCAAATGCTAGAGTATGGATCTAATTTCTTTCCAAATTCTTCCATGTCCCACCTGTGCAATGTGGGCAAGGTATCTAATATTCCTAATTCTCTGTTTCACATCTAGATACTACAAAAGTTTCAAATTTAAAAACAAATTAACAAATAGATTTTTTTAAATTCCAAATTTAAATTTCTGAAAACCCAAATCATTTCTTAAAAATTCAGCAGAAGAATATAGCAGGGATTGGTCCTGAATCACAATTTTAAAGAAAAGTCACTCTAAAAACCAGAGCCCAAATGAACAACAAAAAATATATATACGGTGAATTCTCATTATTTGTTGCAGTTACGTTCTATAAAGTCACCATACACACTGAATTTGCAAATGCTGAACCACACGCCTAGGGGAGATATAAGGTCAGTTTCCTGCAGGCCTCTGGCCACATTTTCCTCAGCTGATCAGTATATAATTTTGTTTTATGTGTGCTAATGTTTAAAGACACCTTATTTAATATTGTTTCATTAACATTAAACTCATGGCTAACAGCACTAGAACTCATGCCTGAATGAAGTTTATCTAGGACATTCTCTGTAAGGTACATCACAGCTTTCTTGTGTCTAGAACACTAGATAGCACCTTTGACATTAGGCCTGGGGACCATCTTGGAAAAATCACCAACAAGAAGCAAAAAATGAAAAAAAAAGTGGCATATGACAACAAAAAAATGACTATTTACATTATGAAAGTCAAAACGAGAGGCAGAGCATCACCTTGTGCAACAGCTGGAAATGTATGTGTTGGACATATGCATGAATGACTGCCAAAGTGCCACAACTATTGATTTGAGGATTAAAAATAAATTTTAGCAGGTCAGCAAATTCACAAAATCACAAATATGGAATCTGTGAATAATGAAGGATGACTGGATATCTCTATTATATAAGCACGTGCATTAATATGTATATGTATGTGTGTGTGTGTGTGTGTGTGTATGTGTATCTTCACTAATATACTGAAATCACTAAGGTTCCTTTGAAGGGGATCAGAATATGCCTCTCCAGAACATGCCACTTTGACATAAGAAATATTTTACGCTGCAGGAATCTGAGAAAGGGCAGGTTCAGGAAGGACTCAGCCTCCCCCGTTTCCCCTGAAGCAGACATAAAACCCTCATGTGACAGGTGCCCTGCCTGTACCTGGAGGAAAGGAGCATCTTTATCTCTGAAGACAGAGGGATGTCAAGAGAAATCTGAGTTTCCCCCAGTTTACTACCCTTGGTTTATACCCTTTTGTACTATCACATTTTCCCACAACTTTCCACTCTGCATGAAACCTAGTATAAAAACGCTCACGCTTAACTGTTTCTTTGAGCCTTCGTCTCCTCTCACATAACACAAAACTTCCATTAAATAAATCTATACACTTGTCTCATGTTCATCTGTCTTTGTCAGTTCAATTTTCAGGCCCAGCCAGGGCCCCTAAGAAGGCTGAGGAGAAGTTTTCCTCCCCTACACCTTCTTCTCTGACTTTTTAATCTCCTTTACATCCTTCCTTTTCCCAGTTGCTTCCTGACCAATTTTCCTATCTAGTTAATGCACTAACAACTACCCAGTTATTCAGGTAAAACTTAGTCTTCTTTTTTCCCCCTTAATGGAGGCACTGGGGATTGAACCCAGGACCTCGTGCATGCCAAGCACATGGTCTACCACTGCGCTATACTTCCCACTCCCAAAAGTTAGGAGTCTGGATTTCTGCCCCCTCAGCTGCCTATATATTCCCAATCCATCACCAAGTCCTGAGTTTTACCTCCAATACTCCAAACACTTCTCACCACCTCCACCACCTTTGACCAAGTCCACGTAACCACCACCTCTTGTCCAAATTCACACAATAGGAACGCTCACACTATTTTACCTTTAGTACTTACACTATATCAAACTTGTCCTATTTATTTTTTCATCGTCCTTCCCTCTTCACGTAACCTCCATGACAGCGGGGACCTTCTCTATTGGTTTACCACTGTTAATTCCAATATCCAGAATGCCAAGCAGACTGGAGAAGATACTACAGGCAGTCAAAAGGTCAAGCAAGTAGGAAGGAAAAAAAATACTAATTGAATGAATGAGTGCAATCTTTCCAAAACTTCCACTTCTCTTTTCTTTTTCAGTTTTCCTTCCCTCCTATCTTAATTCAACTCAATATATAATTCCTGGATGTCCAGAATACTTGCCCTTCATTGTGGCATGTGTTGCCATAGGAAGGAGGAAACACAGCTGTCACTGAAGATTGAATCAACATACACTAATACAACTGATTTAATAATCTAATGCATATATTAACTCATGTCATTTAAAAAATATTTCATTCCAATGCTCACCACCCTACTTCATCAAGTCCCAGTCCCTCAAATCAAAGAGTATACACATAGATAATCTTCAGAAAATACTATCACTATTTGAGGACAAACTTTTTGAAACTCCTCTGAGTACATGCTTTTCAAATATAAGAGATACAAGTAGTGGATATGAATGGCTCACTGCATTCATACTGGTACTTTAAGTTTTAAAGTGTGATGAGGCTACACATTATTAAGGTCATGACTAACACCAACAAAAATTGGGGGTTTGTCACCTCTAACTTCAATAAGTCTCTTCCAATTCCTCCATGACTTCCAAAGACAATTTTCTAGTTAAAACCTTTGCCCTCTATTATATCAGGCAATCACCATTTCCTTGTTCTTATTTAAGATTAATACATAGTCAAATCCAACACAGTAGAAACTTTTTAAACTGTGAAACCAGAAATACCCCTTTTTAATGTCATTTCCTCCCCATCAGCCTGGTAATTTCAAGCCATTGCCACTAGGCTGACAGGTAATAAAAATAAATAATAAGATACAAAATCCTAATAAATTTGCCACTTTGGTAAAATATAATTACTTGATGTTTCTCTTAAGGGCTTTCTCCAGCTTCTTCACCTGTTGTTTATAAAGTCTTAATTCATGCTGTGTAGGCCTGTAGAAAACAAATATTGAACATGTTCAATTTACTGAATAAAACTATAAAGATATATAACAATAGAGTATGCCCTATTATTTGTCACAAATATGCTTAAAAGTTCTTAAAATATTTCACGACTGCTAATGAGGTATTTATTGGCCACTGGATATTCCCTGTTCAAAATTTTCTACCTTTTTTATTGTTACTAATCTATTACTTGTCTTATAGTGAATTATCTCAAATGTACAGGTAAGAATATCCACCCCTCAAGCTTATCAAAGTTGAACAGCAATTTGTTTTAAACTTTTTAACTAAAACATTATACATAAACTTAAAACTCCATGTTTGTCCCTTATTAATGTCACTGCTCCCGTTCCCATACGGCAGGTAACCACTGTCCTGGATTTACTGTGCATTATTCCCGTATGTGTTTTATAAATTTTACCTCATATTTATAGAACCATAAATTTACATTATTATGTGGCAGCCTTTAAACTCACATAAATGGTTTATACTGTAAGTATCAGTCCCTCTCCATTAAAGTATAAGCTTTATGAGAACAAGGTATTTGTTTTGGTCCCAGAGCTTAGGACAGTGTCTAACTTACCATAGGTATTCAACAAATATTCATTGAATGAGAAAAAGTCTCAACAATGTGCATTCCTTACTACCCTCTGTCAACAGGTAGAGTGTTAACCCTTTTGTGCTAGGAATGCTGTATATAAATAAATCTTTCTGTTGTATGCCATTTAAACTTTTTAATTTTCCTCTCCTTCCACAAGACAGACATATGATGAAATAGTAAGACATTCTATAGTAATTTGGAAATGGGAAATCTGATGGTATAAGACTGATTCTATTCTGAGTTCCCACCCAGTTTCATCTTCTTATGTTCTCACTTCCCTTGTCTACCAATGTAGACATACATTTTTCATCATATGAGAGACTATTGACTAAAATGAATTTAAGAGTATGAGTTTCCCAGCATTAGTTTTAGAGGAAAGGGGCTAGAATGACTTATTAAACATTCAAAATATCAGTATGTACTAAAATAAAAGTTAAATAAAAATGACTTAAGTTTCTCTCACCTGCTTTCCAAATCTTTTTGGAGATTCAGCTTTTCACTTAAAAGTACATCTATCTTAGATTTTGATTCCTTAAGTTGATTCTGTAATGACTGCAACACATTTCATAGAAAAATAGTTAACTTTCCTAGGAGATTATTATTTAGATTATTATTTTATTTTACAAAAAAGCATTTGTCAGTCATACAGTCCTGTACCATTAGAAGGCCTTTATAAGTAGGTGAAGCACTCAGACTTCTGAAGTCGTCTTCTGACTGACTTTCATCTTCTTTATATTGCCTATGAAAAGATACAGTATACTTCTTATGAAAAATTTATCTTCAAAGAAAAAAATCTAGCTAACAAAAATCAGATCAGGGGGAGAGTATAGCTCAAGTGGTAGAATGCATGTTTTTAGCATACATGAGTTCCTGGGTTCAATCCCCCAGTACCTCCTCTAAGAATAAATCAATGAATAAACTTAAATACCTCCCCTCACCAAAAAAAATTAATAAATCAACACAGTAAGGGTTTGATAACATAAATATGAACTAAAACATAAGTCAAATTTCCTACTTATTCTTACAGAAAATGGTATTAGAACATACTACTTACTACCCAGTAACATGTATTTGTTCACTAATGCCTTAATTGGAATGTGAGATCCATGCAGACCAGAACTTTGCCTGTCTTGTTCACCATTGTATCTTACTGTCCAGAAGAATACAGGGCATGAGAGGAGGTGAAAAAACACTTGAATGAATAAACAAATGAAAAGCAAAAAAAAAAAAAAAAAAAAAAAGCTCAATGACCAAAAACAAAAAATGGTAATGTGATTTACGTTTTCTCACCAATACCAGTATCACACCACATATGAGTAGGCTAAATCTGAAGCTCCAGAGAAAGGAATACTATATTTGTGACTTGCTAATAGGTATGACAACTTGTACTGAAATGGAAACTTTTACAATACAAATCAATGTTGATTTTACACATTTTCCTTATCTAAGCCAATATGTAGAAGATTTTAGTTTTAATTGACAGTACATGTAAATTGGTTGTAAAAACTACAAGAAAATTTTGAAGAATTTATTGTTGCTATTGATAGATTTAGTGTTGGCTTTTCAACTTCACAATACCCTTCTGAATTAGAGTCAGTGAATTTAGTTAAGTTGGATATAGTTTTTAAGCAGGTATGTCTTTCATTCAAAGTCAAATCAATTATTCTTAAAAAGATGAGCCAGTTTTATAAAAGTGGATGTAAATATTTAAAGGAAAAGTATTTTTTGTAACTGATTCAGTTGCTAGAAAACTTCTAGGTATGTTCAGAACAATTTAGGTTTGTAAATCTATTTTCAACTGTAAATTTCATGAAATCTAAATACAGATCAAATTGTTTCTGGTGAAAATTTGTGTCTGAATTGAGGTGTGCTGTAAGTTAAAATATATACTATATTTCAGTGACAGAATGAAAACAGAGAATGTGAAATATCTAACTAATGATGTTATTGATTATATGTTGAAATGATAATATTTTGGATATTAAATAAAATAAATTTTCATTGGTTTCTTTTTACTTTTCAACTTGGTTACATGAAATTACAAAATTATATATGTGGCTTGCATTATATGTCTATTTGAGAGAGTGGTACTAACATACCCCTCAAACCTTCTAAAACACATGCTAGCTTTGAACAAACGATCATTTCAGGAAAGATAATAAGGATGACTGAGTAGCTTCTATATAACAAGTACTAAGATAGGTGTTTTTATATAGACTATTTCACATTTAACAGGTGAGGAAGTTAACACTTGGAGGAGCTATTTAACTTGCTCAAAGTCACTCAAATAGTAAGTAGCTCGTGGTGGGATTCAAAAGGAAATCTCTGGCTCCAAAGCCTATGCACTCATATCATTCTCTGTATATACTCTAAAGTACCTGCCATTCTGGCCACATTTGTTCTCAGGGGAACCTAATAGATGAATATAGTAGAGGAGACCAATTTTAAATGCAGACCTAAAGGGAAATGAGTTTCAGTTAAGAACCCTCACTTTCTTTTCCTATAGCCTTTGATTTAGCATTGACAGATTTTGTGGTTTTCTTGAAGTAAAAACAATTCTAAGCAGCCACAAACTCTCATTTGGACATGGGATCCCCACAGCCAAAGTCTTCCCCACTCTTTCTCCAATGGTCTCCAGAAGCCTCAGGAGGAACCCAGTGTTTAAGATCATGCTCTTTAGGGACAGAGAGAAAGAGCAAAAGTAGAGAAACTCTGTGTTTTATTTTCTTTCCAAATCCAAATCATGTCTGATCAGAGGCAAACCTCAAAGCCACTTGCTTCCATTTCTCAAAACCATTTAAAAATTTTCTATTTAAAGAGAAGGATGGAATTAGACAAGAGGACTTCACTAATTCATTACAGAACTATTTTCCCTGGGGTAACTTTCCAAATGACTGACATCTCAGAAGAAACTTAACCTGAGCCTTGCAGGATTTATTCCTGTTATTTTCCTTGGCTCTTTCATTCCATCTACAAAGCCAGGGAAATATTAATAGAAGTAGCTAGCAATATATTCCATGTAATCTATATTAACACTGAGTAAAGAAAAGTAGGTAAAGTAATGTAACTGAGAGCCTGTCATTTTAAAATTTACTTTTCCTCTCTTTCAAAGATTGTAGCATGTTTCCTGTTTTCTGAGACTTTTAACTGGCTAACATTTGTATCCATATTTCTGCTGCCTTGATTGTTGCTTCCTTTGCTTTCCCTGCGTAGTCTCATGTATGGAGGGAGAAAGAAATACTGGTCCAGAGCATTTAGAAACTGCCCTTCACAAGTCCCTCTAGAAACCTTCTCAAGCCTGTGCCCTCAAGCAGAGCCCCAGATGGTGTGGCACAGGTGTGCTGTGCAAGGGGATTATGAATGCGCCAAGATATTCATCTCTTAGCCCCCAGGACAACTGGTCAGAGCTCTTGAGCCAGTTAGCGCAGTGTGGTGTACACACATCACTTTCCATGTTTCATGATAAGAAAAACTTTGGACAGTGCTGTTCTTAAAAAATGGGTGTTAAGCAGAGGGCTCCTACCTCTGCAGGGGGCCAACATCCCATTCATCTTCTTCCTTTGGTCTCGCTTCCCTGGCTCTACAGGTGAATACGTCCCTCTCTTGTGCTTCCTGTTTATCCGACTTAGTTCTCCAAATCATAGCCTGTCTTCCCTCATTTTTCCTCTCTTTCACCTTTTTCATCTTTCAATTCTTTCATCTTTTTTTCAGTTTTATAATACTTGTCAGTTACAGTACTCCTGCTTCTTCAGGTGACACTAATTCCCTATTTGTAGATCTCAAAATCCACCTTGAAGTTGCTACAAATTAGTATTTATCTTTAGAAAAGCAACTGATAAACTCCGTTTAATGAAACATGAAAAAACCTCTTTTTAGGACAGATTCTTCATTGCTGCAAAGTAAAAGTGACTTCTAATCTCATCTTCGAGAACATTATTTATAATGCAGTTCCTTTTTTCCCTATCTCTTTCTCTCTTATTAAAGAGACATTCAGTCTAAGTATCTGACCTGAGCATAGTTTGTACAGGCCAAACTATTTCACTTCAGTTAGACCAGTGATGACAGGATTGTTAAGCAAAAAAGTAACTCCTTCCCCCGAGACTTCTTATTCTCAACCCCAGATTTTTATTACAAATTCATGACAACCAAATTCACTGCCACCACCCACAAGAGCCTCAATCCTATTTAGTCAGAATCCCAGTCTGTACAACTTCAGAGGCAACGTCTCACACCATATTCTACACAAAAGATTTCAATGATGGCTATGCTAAATCTTCTCTACTCTTACTAAAAATCCCAAACTTTCTCTCTTCATCATCTAGACCAGTGGTCAGCAAACTGCTGCCTGTGGGCTACATCCAGCAGGTTTTTTATAATTAATGCTATGGCATGCCAATTCATTTACTTATTGTGCATGGCGGATTTCGTGCTACAACAGCAGAGTTGAGTAGTTGTGAGAGACCACATAGACTAAAATGCCTAAAATACATACTGTTTGGCCCTTTTCAAGAAAAAGTTAACCAACTCCTAAATCTAGGTTAGAATTTACTAAAGACATAGACCAAAGGTTGCAAATAATATTCAGTTTGGATCATATAATATTTTTAGAGCATTGAGTTTTAATTGCAAATATTAAAAATCTGATTTCTTATTTAAATCTAACCTTCTAGCTTCTCAAAAAAGCAGATCTAGACACAGTGGATTCACACTCCTGCATGGCATCAACCGGCTAGAGTGAGTAGTAACTGCTCCCTTAAGACAGATGGTACACAGCTCCCCAATTTGCCAGTCTGACCTGCTTCACTCATTTTCATCATTTTCTTGATCCTGTGAGCATAACAGTTTGCAACCTCTCAAGCCACAAAATTCTTCATTTTCCCTCTCCTTACTCTTACATACTGAGATTGTTCATTTTAGTGTCAACTTGGTTAGGCTGTGGTACCCAACTACCTGATCAAACACCAGTCTAGATATTGCTGTGAGCTATTTTGTTTTTGATGTGACTAACATTTAAATCAACAGACTTTGAGTAAAGCAGACTACCCTTCATAATGTGGGTGCAATTAGTTAAAGGCCTTAAGAGTAAAAACTGAGACTTCCAAGAAAGGAGGTATTCTGCCTCCACGTTGCCTTCAACATCAACACTACAACATCAACTCTTCCCTGGGTCTCTGGCCTGCAGGCTGGCCTCACAGATTTCAGGCTTGCCAGCCTCATAATTGCATGAACCAAATATTTTAAAATAAATCTCTCTCTATATATAAATGTACATTCTAATGGCTCTGTTTCTCTTGAGAACCCTGACTAATACACATACCTACAAGCCCATCACCCACCTGTATCAAAGGAAAAAGAGCTTTCCTTCTTTCCAAGGCAAATGATGTCTCCTTGTTCATTTACAGCTTACTCTGGGTCCAGCATATGAATGACTGCTCTCCACAGGTTACTACCTCTATTAATATACCAACAAATCCCCAGAAGTCCAGCCCAGCTGCTTAATTACAGTGCCATAAAAAACTCTTCTTTTTTTATCTATGCTCTTTTGCTCATAGCATCCAAAATGTCTAAAATGCCTTTACCTTGTCTACTTTCCCAAATTGTGCTTATTCTTCAAGCTCAAGCACAATCCCCATCTGCTTTGTAAAGAGTCCTCTGGTTACTCCATCCAAAATGAATTTGTTCCTGTTATAATTTCCTGCATTACTTACTGTCTGTACAGTTTTTAGTAATTACTTTATTGTGACACTATGTATTGTATTTTTTAAGTCTCATATTATCTTTCTTAATTATTAATGGGTTTATATATACTCTCCCTTACTAGACTGCAAACTCCTAGAAGGTAAGAACCATGTCCAAAAATTTGTCCTGTCTCTGTATAACCTAACACCATGCCTACCATCAAAAACACAGTTTCATTTGGGAATCAGAAGGTCCCTGAAGTTATCTGATATAACATTGCTTTCTGAATAGAATGAAGCAAGGAGTTGCTCTATCATTAGCTGTTCTTGTCTTCCCTCTTTCCCTCTATCCTGCTGTCTTTTTTAAGAGTCCCCAAGGTGCTAGAAGGAATCAGCAACCAGTATAGCTCTACCACTGGTCCTACTGAGTTTCTGGAGACTCATCACTCTTAGGGCAAGAATACTAGATAATGCACGCTTGACGAAAGCAGAGGATTTACCTGCTTTATTCTAGTGTATCTATTTTATCTGTTCAGTGTCTAAAATAGAACATGGCAGAAAGTAGGTGCACAAATAAATATTTGTTAAAAAGAACTATTCCATTTATAAATAATGAAAAAGAACAGTTACTGGTTTAATGACCTTATATTAAAGCACTTTAAATTATTTGGTCTTAGGTATCTTTCAGCTATTTTAGGTTAGTCAAAGACCATTATTTTAAACTTTACCCTTATTTCTTTAATGAGAGGTGACAAGTGTGTTTAACGCTATATACTTGATTTTTCACTATGACATTTTATCTTTTCTCATATAAATCTGCATACTAATTAGGCTGTACTTTGGTAGGCAGCTAATTCAATCCTACACACCTTGTGGGTATACTCAGTAACTATCCAGTGGCTAGATGACATCAATAGAATAAATAGTAATACTTCAACAAAATTAAAAGTTAATACTATTTCTTCTGTAACTAATACTTTCGTGGTTAGTAAATATATATATTTTAATATAAACACAACAATATACTTTAACATAAGTAGTAAAATATAGTCTTGAAGAGCTTTAGAAAACAAGAAATTTGTAGTTATATATCAGATAGGTTATACATATACCAGGTCAAGTTTCAAAAGGCTATAAAAACTTTTAGTGTAATTCATGACTAGATAATAACTTTATAAATGGTAATACAGGACTAGTCATACCTTTGTTTTTGAAATTTTCTAATTTTAGATTCATAGTAATCAATTAGACAAAGCAACCTAGAAAACAGGTAAGTTGAATTATTTTCAAACTGTGGTATTGGAACATTTACTATTCTTTCTATACAATTTTAAATGACAGTGATTAACATACAGGTTAACTAGCAAATCATAAAAAAATTTAAGTGATTTTTGCCAGAAGCAAGCATACTAAGCCATATATTTTATATTAACTTTAATGTATAGATTTTAAAATAACCAGAAACATTAAACATCAACATATTAAATGCATATTCTCCTTTTCCCAACAGTTCTCTCTCTGGCAATCACTCCCACAGAAGTATCTGCCCAAGGTTGTAACTCTAGAAGAACAAGGTTTTTCAAAGCACTATGATTTATGAGTGAAAACTCAGAAACAATCTAAACATCCTTTAATGAGGGAAAAGTTAAATAAATAATGGCACATCCATACTACAGAAAATGATGAAGCATTAGAAGAGATTATGTAAATCTGTACATTCTCATGAGAAGTGATAAGGGAAAAAATCAATGTTGTATTGCCAAATGTATAGTATTACTCTATTTTTTGAAGAAATAATTCAATGTGAATCTATGTATGTGCTGAAAAAGAACTCTATGGGATCTTAACTGAGGGATAATACCACAATGTTGGGGACAGAGTTGGTTATCACACTGAATAGCTGGGGACAGAGCAAATGTTCACCATATGCAGATGCTAAAAGTTCATCAATCAACATGACAGCCCTACATATTGAAGACCTGTCCCACCCAAACAACACTCTTGTTATAAAACACTGGAAAGGACACAAACCAAACTGTTAAATGTGGTTACCTCTGGGATGTGGGAATTAGGAGGGGTAAGCAGGTCTATAACATTTTTCTTTACATATTTTGATATTATTTCAATTTTATAAGCATGTATTGCTTTTGTAATTCAAAAAATCCTCAAAAATAAAATAACACTATACTTTCACATATTATTATTTTTAAAGCAAGAATTTATACTATTTTCCTCCTATCTTGGAAAATTTACTCATCTATCCCTTTTTTCAGGGCTAATTCAACTGTGCTTTTAATATCAAAACTTTCCAGATTATTCTTTCTCTTCAAATTTTCCTCATCCCAACACATACCAGCCTTCATATTATCCTGCAAATATGCTTTAATTTCCTTTATATACTTTCTAAGCCCTCTCACCCCTTACTCCTCCGTCTTGCTACTATTCCATTGCTATCTTTTTCCTGCAGGGCAAACTTCATTCATCCTGAATGACTGTTACCTGCCACCTTCTACAAACTTTTGGAGAGGACTTATATGTCAAACCAGAAATTCTGAGCAAAAAGACAGTGGGAAGCCAAGCACAAACTAACGAGGCAGCATGTAACACTTCTCATCACCTTCTCCTTTTGAGACACTCTTATTCCTTGGTTAGCCTGACATCCAAACATAACTCTTCTGCCTCTACTTTCTCTAAAATTGAAAAGTTTTCTGGAGTTAGGCCCTTCTAAGTGTAGGCCTGGTAGAGCGGAGAATCTCTAGGCCATTAGACAAATTCACACCTGAATGAGCTTGATTTCATGTGGCACTTGGCATGTTCTCTCGATGCTTCTCTCTCTCTCTCTTACCCTCTCACCCACTCAAATTAGCTGTTTTTTATTTCTGTTTTCATCCTTTCTCCTCCATCTCTCTCACTACATTTTTACTCCTGTTGTAATTACCTCTTTCTTCCTTTTGTTCTTCCTTACTCCTATTTTTCTTTCTTTGCTTCTCTCCTCTTTTTATTTATTCGTATCTACCTCCAACTATTTTTTGTTATTTAAATTATTTTTTATATTTTTATCCTTGCTCTTCCTTTAAAAAGATAAAAATTGTATATATGTGTATATGTATGTGTTATCTCTCAAATAATTATCAAAAATAATCTAGTTTTAACTTACATGTGACCTCATTTATTTTTATAGTAAAATAGAAATACCTAATTAGTAAAGAGTCCCCAGTCCTTATGTAAACATGTAAAACTAGTTTAAATGTAATTAGTTTATACTAAGTGAAAAAAAAAGCTACCTTTTATACAAAAAGGAGAAATATGAATATAATACCCATACCACTTATATTTGCTAAAATAACCCTAAACATTTAAAATTACCTACAGGGAGAAGTAAGAAATAAGGTTAAGGGGACAGGAGTGAAAACACAACTTCTTTGACTGTAAGTAATTATAGGTTTTGGAATTGTATAAATGTCTTACAGATTCAAAACTAAATATTTTAAAAAGCCAGCCCTAAAAACTAAAAATAAACTGAAACAAATAAACCTAACTGTATATTAATTTGGTGCTACAAACACAGAGAAAAGAAATATTTCAAGATATTTTGGAACACTATATTTTGACTGTACACACAGTGTAATACATTATTAATGTCAAAGATAACTGAAAAGAGAATTATTTTCATTCAGTAGGTTACTGATACAGCAATTCCGGTATTATTATTTTAAAACTATTTTTATATATTAAAAGATAAAGCAAGTAACTAATTATGATATTATTCTTAGGAATAAGATTTTCAGTGTAAAAGAGTTACAAATGTAAAATCAAAGTTTAAATAAAAACCTGTAATGTTAACTTCAGTTGGAAAAAAATCATTACTGATTTGTTTTTCCTCAGATATATATAGTTCCTAACACTTGCCACTAAAAAGTCCTAAAATCAATGACAACATAATAATGGTAAGCAACCTCAGCACCCAAACTGTGCTCTAAAAACCATTCTGACCAAAAGGAACCAGAGTTCTTTTGAGAAATGTCTAATTAATTAACTTTAAATGTTTAGTGTTAGTTTTAACAAATACCAAACTCTATTCCTCAAAAGAGCTCTTAGGGCAAAAAAATGTACAGGATGTGCCCTCTGCCTAAAAATAAGAAATCTAACAAAGATTAATGAAGCTGAGTCAAAAGTATATAATACCAACATGAAAAAGTTCTCACTGGCCAAAGACAGGATACTTTGATCATTTAAATCCCATGAGTTAAGCATGACCGTTGAAAAAAGAAAGAGCCACAAACAAAAACTCTTACTGCTTATCTTTGGAAATCATGGCACCAACTCCTTATTCTAAAAAGTGAGGATTAAAAGGAAAGAACTGAGCATTGCTCCCACATTCTGTTAACAGATCATATGGGGCAACCAAATAGCCTCTACTCAATAGGAAAGGTTCTTTTTTTAATGGAAGAATTCCAGAAAAAAGAAAAAAAGGGATACCAGACTTGAAAACAATCTTGCAAGATCATCAATGGATGAAACCATTAAATGAAATGATGATGGGAAATTTTACAGTGGAAGGATCAGATTGTTATTATTTAAACTCGTGAACAATCTTAGCATCCCTAAGAATAGGTCAACTAGACTTTACGTGACTCCTGATATTTTATAATTAGAAGCATAAATTACCACCTGAGGTATTTTGCCAAAATTACTTGCATCTGAATTTAGCTCTATCTTCCAGTGTAGAGGAAATACAGGAGATAGAAGAGTAAGTTAAATGACATAATAAGGAAGCAAACAGACAAATCTAACATGTACTTCTCCAGGACAACTGACCAGTTTCTTCAAGTTAATAACATTAAAAAAAAAAGCACAGAAGAGGGGAAGTAAGACTCCTCCATTTTAAGAGAAATATAAACCACATGCAAGATGAAATCTATTTTAAAAAAATAATGAATCTAGCTACATATCAATTTATGTAGCAAACATTACTGTCTATCCAAGACGGTATGAGGAACTCTTTTGCAGAGATAAGAAAACACTCTGTTTTGAGTGGCAATGCGCTCCTCTTCCTCCTTTGTTAATCTATAGATATCCTTTTGCAAAGAAGCAATAGTCTCTTGTTGCGCCATTCGTTTTTTCTTATAATGCTGACATTTTGCCTGTAAGAAATTTTTCAAAAAATATAATTATGATACGTACATCTAGTACATGCTGTCCTAACAATATTGTATACAAAGCCATCTTTACAGAGCTGCTTCACTCAAGAACTTCAGTAGAACTGAAGAACTTGAGGCTGTTTTTAAATGGGTGCAAGCTCAAGGAATATTCGTATGTCTTAAATGTAAAAACTGTAACAAGTAAAATCAGTGTAAAATGGAAAAATATAGCTTATAATTGCATGCATTCAAGGTTTCATAATAAGTAAAAGAACTCAATCACCATAAAACTGATATAATTTTATGCATATGTTTCGAAGAAAATAACAATCAGGAAGGAACCAATATTAAGGATGTTAAAAAGAACCAAGCAAGAATTTAAGATTCTTAAGTGATCCATAATTCAGGATTTCAGATGGTTTAATCAGCTTAGATATTTACACAGTGTGGGATACGGCAAACTCACAGTTAAAGTCCCTAACTAGCAATTTATTAAGAAATAATACATACCCCAAGATTTATAGAAGGGAATATAAATCTTGATTACTCTCTTCTCTTCAGTGAAATATCTACTGGCCCTGTTTCCCTTTCTTCTACAGCTTCCACTCCTCAGTGTCCTTTGAAAGCTCATTATCAAGAGCACCATCATTGTTATTGTTAATACATTTTTATAAAGCTCAGTGAGAAACCCTATCCCTTTCTGGCTTGCACAACACTAAGACATACTACTTTCAGAAAAGGATATTATTTCTAAACACATGTTGACCTGCTCATAGTGTCAAGTTTGCTGAGACTTGGAGACTCTCATGGGAAAAAGAAGACTCAGCTTCTGGTACCATATCATCTCCCAGTAATCACCAGCTATATCCGGAATTGATTCTCTGCCTCAGCCCCACCATGGAAGCCAGGCAGGAGCTCTACAGCCAAGTGACTTGGGTCCCAGTTCCACCTCTATCTATAAGTTAGCCTAGAAACTAGTATAATCGAATTTTGCAGGTCACATGTAAAAGCAAAACACAAGAATCAATTGTATCTCTCCTACGTCATTCTATGAGGCAACATTACCCAAATACCAAGACCAGACAAAACAAAAAGAGACCCACAAACCAATAGCCCTTAAACACTGATGCAAAAACTTAAAATACGAGCAAACCAAATTCAGCAGCATATTAAAGGATTATATACTATGACCAAGTGGGATTTATTCTTGGAAAGCAAGAATGGTTCAATATATGAAAAACCAACATAATACATTACATTAACAGAAGGGGGGAAAAATCCACATGATCATCTCACTTGATGCAGAGAAAGCATCTGACAAATTCTCCAATACCCCGTCATGATAAAAATACTCAGCAAACAAGGAACAGGAGGAAACTATCTCATTTTAATAAAAGCCGTCTATGAAAAACCCACAGTGAACATCATACTCAACATCAAAAGACTGAAAGCCTCTCCTCTAATATCAGGAACCAGGCGAAGATACCTGCATTCACCACTTCTATTCCACATAGTACTGGAAGTCCTAGCCAGAGCAATCAGGCAAGAAAAGAAATAAAAAACATATAAATTGGAAAGGAAGAAGTAAAATTATCTCTATTTACAGATGATATGACATGCAGAAAACACTAAAGATTTCACCAAAAACACATATTAGAATAAATGAATTCAGCAAAGGATGAATTAACCAGGATACAAAGTCAACACACAAAAATCAATTCCATTTCTATACACTAATGATGAACAATCCAGAAAGGAAATTAAGAAAACAATTACACTTATGATATCATTAAAAAGAATAAAATAAGAATAAACCAAGAAGGCAAAAGACTTATACACTGAATATTATAAAAGGCTGTTGAAGGAAACTGAAGATAAAAATAACTGGAAAGATATTCTGTGTTCATAGACTGGAAGGCTTAATATTAAGATGTCAATACTACCCAAAGCACTCTACAGATTCAGTGCAATCTCTATCAAAACCTCACGGACATTTTTTTTTGCAGAAACAGAAAAATCAATCCTGAAGTTCATATGGAATCTCAAAGGACCTCACAGAGTCAAAACAATCTTGAAAAAGAACAAAGTTAAAGTTCTCACACTTCCCGATTTCAAAGCTTACTACAAAGCTAAAGCAATCAAAACAGTGTGGTACTAGCATAAAAGACATATAAGCTAATGGAGTAGAACAGAAACCCCAGAAATAATCCTGTACCTATGGTCAAGTTATTTTCAACAAGAGTGCCAAGATCATCCAGTAGGGAAAGAACAGACTTTGTTCAACAAATAATGTTAGGAAAACTAGAAAGCTACATATAAAAAATGAAGTTGTACCCTTACCTTTAAACATATAAAATTAATTCAAAATGGGTCAAAGATCTAAATGTAAGAGCTAAAACTATAAAACTCTTAGAGGAAAACAGAGGGCAAAAGCTTCATAAGATTGGATTTGGCAACTATTTTTTAGTTATGACACCAAAAGCTTCAACAACAAAAGAAAATAAATAAATTTGACTTTATTAAAATTTAAAACTTCTTTGCATCAAAGGCATTATCAACAGAGTAAAATGACAATCTATGGAATGACAGAAAATATTTATAAATAATATATCTGATATGGAGTGAATATCCAGAAGAAATACAGAACTCCTACAACTCAACAAAAATATAAATCTGATTTTAAAATGGACAAAGGACTTGAATAGATGTTTCTTTAAAAAAAATACACGAACGGCCAATAAGCATATGAAAAGAGGCTCAACATCACTAACCATCAGGGAAATGCAAATTAAAATCACAAGATACCACTTCACACCCATTATGATGGCTACTATTAACAAAAACAAAACAAAAACAGAAAATAACAAGCATGGGTAGGGATGTGGAGAAATTGGAATCCCAGTGCGCTGCCAGTGGGAAAGTAAAATGGTACAGCCACTCTGGAAAACGGTATGGCAGTTCCTCAAAAAATTAAACATAAAATTACCATATGACCCAGCAATCCCACTTTTGGGTATACACCAAAAAGAACTGAAAGCAGGGACTTGAACAGATATTTGTACATCCATGTTCATAGTAGCATTATTCACAACAGCCAAAAGGTGGAAACAACCCAAGTGCTTACTGATGGATGAATGAATAAACAAAGTATGTTTATATATACACAGTTGGCTCTTTAATAACGCAGGGGGTTAGGGGCACCAAAACTCAGTGCAGTCGAAAACTCACATATAACTTAGAATTGGCCCTCAGTATCCACAGTTCCTCCACATCTGTAGATGCAACCAACTTCAATCATGAAGTACTGAAGTATTTACTACTGAAAAACCCACATATAAGTGGACATGCACAGTTCAAACCCATGTTGTTCTAGGGTCAACTATACATAAAATAGAATATTATTCAGCCTTAAAAAGGAAATACTGACATGCTACAACATGGATGAATCTTGAACACATTATGCTAAATGAAATAAGCCAGTCACAAAAGGACAAATATGGTATGATTCCACTTATATGACATATCTAGAGTAGTCAAATAGAGACAGAAAGTAGAATGGTGGTTGCCAGGAGCTGCAGTGAGTGAGGAATGGGGAGGTACTATTTATTGAGTATAGAGTTTTAGTTGGGAAGATGAAAAAATTATGCAGGTGGGTGTTGAGAATGGTTGCACAATAACGCGAATGTACTGCCACTGAACTATACAGTTAAAAATGGTAAATTTTATGTTAGTTATAATTTACCACAATAAAAGGGGGAGAATCAATTTCTCTCTCTATACTGGCTATGAACAACAAGAAATTGAAACAGAAAATACAAATATTTACAATACCGTCAAAAAATATTAAACATTTAGAGACAAATTTAATGAAACATGTGGAAAACCAGTGCACCCCAAATTACTATACAAGCTTAGAAAAGTTAAGGAAGACCTAAACAAATGGAGAGATGCATCATGTTCATGGATCAGAACATTCAGTACTGTTAATATGCAAATTTTCTCCCCAAATGGATCTACATACATGATAAAATCCCACCAGGCTTTTTTTTCTTTTTTTTTTTGCAGAAATCAACAAGTGAATTAGAAAACTGACATGGAAATGTAAAGGATCTAAAATAGCCAACACAACATTGAAAAAGAACACAAGTAAAAGACTTGTAGTGCCTGATTTCAAGATTAACAGTAATCAAAGCACTGCGGTTCTGGCATAAAGACAGATACGTATTTAAATGGAACAGGACAATCCAGAAATAGACCCACACATACATAATTTGATTTTCACCAAAGATACAAAGGCAATCTGGTAGAGACAGGATAGTCTTTTTAACAAACAGTGATGGAACAACTGGATATCATAACCTTGGGCTACATCTAGTTTTTTGGAAACGAATCAAAAAGCACAATCTATCTTTAAAAACTGATAAGTTGAACTTCATCAAAATTAAGAACTTATGCTTCTTGAAAGACACTAAGAGGATGAAGACAAGTCACAGGCAGCATCTTAAAAAGTTAAATATATACTTACCATACAACTCACCAATTCTAGTCTTAGGTATCTACCAAAGAGAAATGAAAGAGTATGTCCACAGAAAGACTAACACAAATGTTGTAAGAGCTTTATCTGTAATAGCTAGAAATGGGAAACAAGTCAAATGTCCCGTCCATCAATAGAAGAATCAACAAAGTGCAATATGTCCATACAATGAATAAACTAGTGATACATCCAATAACATGGATGAATCTTGAAATAATTATGTTGAGTGAAAGATAACCAATGATTCTGAGACAGAAAGAGTACAGCCATTTTGGAAAAGGATGGAGGGAACAGCATTGAACAAGTGGGCTTGACAGGCTGGGTAAAACAAAGCACCTAAAGCCTTGGGCCTCTGAGACAAGACCCAGAGATCCACAGGAATAAAAGACTATCTCTGTTCCACTGATGTATGTATATACATAGTTTCCAAACGACAAAAGTGGGACTATAAATTTACCACATAGCAGAATCGCCCAACTCCCAGTTCCCTGAAAGATACAGATAAAGGTCTGACACACATTCCTAAAATGTTTTTGCAGGAAGCGAATCCCCCAGATGAAAACTGCTGATTTCAAGCATGTAGATTTGAATCCGGGTTGATGATACTTGAAACATCATCTTGATGCCAACGAATCCAAGAACTGAGCACAAACTGACCAGGCACCTTGCGGCCCCCTCCCTCACACTGCCTTTAAAACCCCTTCCCTGAAAGTCCTTGGGGAGTTGGCACTCTTCTCCTCCTTCTCCCTTGTGCACATGCTATCCTTTCAATAAAAAGCTCTGCTTGCCTAAGCATTCTGTGGAAGCAATATTCATCTCAACAATATTGCAGTCCAAGAATCTGGAGAGCGCCTGGTAAGAATTTTAATAGCCCAGGCCATGCTTCCTGTACCTCCTTCCTCCCTACCTAGGTATCAGTTACCTATAAGGCAATCATGTATTAGGAATATCTTGCTGACTTTAGATCCATTTTCTCATTTGGCTCCAAGAAGCACTCAGTCTGATGGCTCTGTGTATATTTTAAAAAGCTAAAGTCAACAGAGTAATCCAACACAAAGTGAAAAACTGAAGCTAAAGAATTTGTGGAGACAAAGTGTATAAATGAGCTTGGTGGCTTTACATTGGGTGGTTTGTATAATACATAATAATTAGGCAGAGAATAAAGAATTAGATTTTTTCGCTGCTTTTTAAAAGTTTAAATAACAACAGGAAGGAAACATATTGTGTTATTTCAATTTTCAGTAGTAAATAAACGTGTGGAGAGAATAAAAATATGGAACTGAAATATACAACAATAAATAAGTTGGAGAATGGTAAAATTGTTTTATGATTGTTACACTGTCAGAGAATAAGGCAAAAACTATAATGTAACATTAAATTTTAAGAAGTCAAGAATGCATATTTTAATCTTTGAGGTAACCACTAAAAGAACAGTAAAAATCAGCTTCCTGATCCATACATTTCCTATAAAGAAAGAAGAGGGACAACTACATCCTGATACTGATGGTGTGACTTAAAACTAAAATTATCTGCTTAGAACTTTAGAGGACCAAGAAGTTTATCAAACTACATCCCAATAAGCTAATACACTAGCCTATGTTCAGAAAAAGGGAAACTGCTCCACAGAACACAGAAACTGCAAATACAATGTTGTCTTTTGGTTTCTGCATTTCCCCAGCAATCTCTCAATAGCAGTCTTTCAAAATACTGTTGTCAAACATCTGTGGATTTCCTTCATCTCTTTGTCACATACATACAAAATCAGTGTTTCCTTTCTCTCAATGGCAAAATACACAGTACTAAACCATTCTAAAATTAGAAACAAGTGTACACCAAAAAAAAAAAAAAGAAGAAGAATGTGCCTCAAACTGTGAAATAATTATTCTCCAGGAGCACTTCAATCTTCCCCAAAAAAGCACAGATTGACTAGAAACAGAATATATGACGACTAGTCTATAATAGAATGGGACAATCGAACAACATTGAGGGGCAGCAATTCCTTGGGTTTGTCAGTTTCTGTTGACATTCTATAAAAACTACCCTTCAGGGACTTAAAAACCAAAAAGCAAGCAATTTCAATTGACCAGATTAGCATAGATACCCTTCCCCAACACCAAGTTTCCACACCCCAATCCTAATTCTGTCTGCCCTCAATGGTAGACTGAAACATGAGACCTCCTCTGAACCAGTTTACAAGTTATGTAACACATCTCTGGGACCTGAAACAAAAAGTTAATGGCCCATAACTCATTTATGACAGACAGAACCACCTGACAGAAAATATATGCCACTCCACTCAAGTCACCCTTACCAATGAATCCTCAAGTATCTGTTCTTTGAATTGCCTAAAATTCTGGTAAATTTACAAGTCTTATATTTTAATAATTTGACTCTGTGATTATTTATATAACAACCTCTTTATATCTTAATAATTTGACTCTTTGATTATTTATATATCAATCTCTTTGAAAAAATAAATATCTTCCTTAAAAAAGAACAGTGATCTAACCCCTAGCCCTCAGCTCCCTCTGTCAGCACCACCTGATGGCTGCTTTTCTCACGTCAGCAGGTTGATGAATTAAAGAGCTTCAGGTTTCCACACGCCCTGTATCTGAGAGCAAGGTCAAAATCAAATATATACAGAAATATTTCCAAAATCCCCCTCTGTGTAGAGAGATTTTAGAACGTACCACTGATGAGGAGAGCAGTCTAACAAAGCAAATCTTAAAGTGTAAAGTTCTAACAGTAGAGGATTTTGTTGACAGATGAATAACAGAAACAGACTTGGCCATCAAAGAATGACAGTGTCTTCTCTGAAGCTGTGATCAACACCAGCAGGTCCACCACTGGCCACCCCAAATTGTCAGCCTAAATGAGGGCAGAACACCAATGGCCTGCGGTCTCACATCAGAACCCCCGAGTATCTCTGGTTGATTCTCTCTGACCTTGGAATTTATATTAACTCATCAGATCCTTCTGATGCTGCCAGCATAAACTGAGGGGATGTCCAGACCCTGCCTGATAAGTACTGGTCCCTTTTAGGCAGGCTAAACACCCTGTGTGCAGTAAGTACATATAGCGTTGTGACAACAAAAAAACATTTCAAAATAAGGATGTAATATATATAATGATATAATGTTTCTAAGTATTTGTAATGTCTTACACGACAAAACACTGGTTATCACTACAAGAGGTTTGTTACTTTTAATCACAATAAACACCCAAGTTTTAAAATAAGGGTTTTTTTAAATTAGGAAATTAAGTATTCAATGTTATAATATTGCTATTTCTATAAAAAGAAAAGTAACAAAACTTAAAATCACTAAGTATATTCCATACAAACCTTATGTATTTAACTCAATAACTCAAATATTTATTGAGCATCTACAACTAATAATAAAGCAAACACTTTTTTAGCCTGAAACAAAACAGACAAAAATATTTGCCCTCATGGAGCTTGCATTCTAACACAGGGAGATATACAAACAAAACAAAGTATGTTAGTATGTTACATGGTGGTGAGAACTATGGATGAAATATAAAGCAGGGAAGGCAATACGATATGTGAGGGACAGGACTGCCAATTGTAAGTAAAGTAGTCAAAAAAGGAATCCCTGAGAGATGGTGATGTGACAACTGAGTAAGTAGAGAGTAAACACACCATGAAGCTATTTTTAAAAAGCATGCATAGCAAAGAAAAAAGGAAGAACAAAATGCACTAAGTCCCTGAGGTGAGACTGTTCCAGAAAAATGTTCATTGAAAAGCAAGAAAGGCAGTGTGGCTGGAGTAGAATAAGCAAGAGGTACAGTAGATGAAGTCAGAAGGTAACACAGGGCCAGATTATGTAGGACCTGGTAAGGCATGGTGAGACTTTTGGATTTTCCTCTTTAAAAAAAAAAAAAGGAAAGTCATTGGAGTGTTTTGAGCTACTATGTTGAGAGCAAGTTAAAAAAAGGAAGGGTGGAAGTAGCAAAACCAAGAGAGAAGCAGGAGAGAAATGAAGGTGACTTGGACCTGAGTAGAGACTAAAAGAAGAAAGTCTGGGGAGGAAATTCAGGAACTCAGTTTCAGACATGCAAAAAAGTTCTAGGTGCCTATTGGACGTCCAGTGGAGACATCAAGAAGCAAGTAGGATTTGAGTCTGGAATCAAGGAAAGAGGTCTGGGCTATTACATTAAAAGATGCTGTGAATTCGCAAGGGAGTGAGAATATACAAGAAAGAAAAAAGGTCTAAGGAATGAGTCTGGGAATCCCAACACTAAGAGGTTAGGAGGATGAGAACTAGCAAAGGAATTCAAGAATAACCAGTGAGGCTGGAGGAAAACCAGGAGAGAGGATGTTCTGGAAACCAAGCAAAGAAAGAATCTCAAGGCAGCAACAATGACAGGTCAAGTAAGAAAAGGAGCATTGAACTAAGCACACAGGGGTCACGTGCGACCTTGATGAGCCGTTTTAACACTGTTTTGTAAGAAAATGTAAAACCCAGTACCTGTAAAGCTTTTTGCTCCTTTTGAAGTTCTTTTATTTTATTCTGTTGTTGGCAAACCCTACTTAGGGATTCATCCTCCATTTCACCAATTTTGGATTTCACACTCTCCATAATTTGTTCCAAGTCATTAGCTCGTTGTTCCTGATCTGCTGCTCGGCTTTTTTCTATCTGAAGTTCATTTCTAATAACAGACACATAACCCTTCCCTTACTAATCAAATCATAACAACAAACATATCCATCTAACAACATAATGAGTTTCTAAAATATCTTTGCATTCTTAAAATTTCTATCTTATAACACAAACCAATAGAAAAAATATATGGTTACCATTACACGTCTAAGCTAAGCTACTACCAAAAGATTTATCTATTAAAATATCTTAATTTAATATTTAATCAAGATGGGAAATTAAATGTCAAGATTTTTTTCAAGGGAATTATGTTTAGAATGCATACTACTTGTATACAAACAATTCAAAACAGATTCTTTTCCATTTTCTTACTTAAGCTGTTTATTAGTTTCTATGAGCTCCCGGATCATGTTCTGTTGACGTGATGTTTCTTCCACCAAAGTTTTTAAATTCTCCCTCATCCTTTGTGATGACTGTTTATCAAAAATGATGAGATCTACATTTTAAAAAATGTAATAGAGTAAAAATAAAGGTAAAGGAAAAAAATTTAAGATAAAAAATTTTTAAAGGAAAAAAGAAGCTTTTTATTAATAAGGAGCAAGAATAGGATCTGATTACCTTTCAGATCTGTTCTTTTGACTAGAGATAAAGGTTTTAAGCCGTGCACCATCAACAGCACATTTATGTTTTCCCATTCTGCTTCTTCCTGCTACAATTACACAGAGAGAAAAAGATCAACTTGAAGATATAAAGTAAAGAAATACCCTCTTATATATAATTTCCTTTGTTTTCAGAATAACAGAACTTTCTCTAAAAGCTTTAATATGAATTTTTATGCCCATATAATGGTTAAAATTAAAACAAATTTGTTTTTAACAAAATTAGCAGACTAAAAAGAATGAAAATAAGCATAAATAATTAATTATATAATTCCAAAATACTCACTTATAAGGCTTAATGGATAAATTTAAACAAAAAAAAGAACAAAAACTTGTAATTTCAGTGAACCAAACAGATCTCAGGTTTTTGATGTAACTGAACAAGACTGGGCCCCACTCAAAATAAAAAGCTGCAAATTAGATTATGTTAATGAATAGTAAAGAAAGGGTGAGTCACTCAGGAACAAGTGTCACTTTAACACTGCCTGGGGTCACAACGAAATCAAACATTTGCCTGGTTGGAGCCAATAATTTAGATAGTTTCTTGTAATAATGGACAAGGCCTAACTATGAAAAAGAGTCTGTCCATCAAAGTAACTGATTCTAGTAGAATCACTCTGAAAGACACTCTAAGTTTTGTATCCCCGATTCTAAATATGTATTTACACTATAAACCTGAGAAGGGAACTCTAACTCACTAGGTTAAGTAAATAAAAACCTAACAAGGAAGAAAATAAGGACATAAAAAACTTAGATTAGAATAGAAATATAGATGATTTTTTAATGACACATTTAAATCCACCATATTAATAGTTTCACAATGGGCTCAATGTAAGTACAACGATCAATTCTGAAATCACTGTGGGAGGGATTTTGCGTGCATTTTAAAATACTTTACGTATCTTGTATAGTATATTTGCGAAAAGGTAATTTGAGTGAATTTTTAATCTATTTAAATGTTTGAAAAAATTTACACAATACATTTTTATGACTGTATAGTATATAAATATTATAATAGCTTTAAGGTTTAATAATTTTGACAACTTTCAAAAGTACAAATAAAAGTATTACTTTCCACATCCAAATGCCCCTCAGATATTAAAAAAATCTACCAAGATAAGCAACACAGATATACTGTATAGCAACAGAATCAGCCATTACTGTGTAATAACTTTTAATGAAGTATAATCTGTAAAAATACTGATTCACTATGCTGTACACCTGAAACTAATATAATACTATAAATCAATTATACTTCAATTAAAAAAATCTATCAAGACAAAACAAACTATTCAGATGACTGTGACTCACAGCATCAAACAAATCTTTTGATTGCTGACTTCTTCTTTATCCGGTCTATAATTCTCCTCCCTCCCTTGTTTTCCCTTATTTATGTCATCAAGTCACAAAGATTAATAATATAGAACTAAAATTACTGCTGGTATCTGTTTTAGAAGCCAAAAGCTCTGTGTGGGTATCTAAGTGGATGTCTACTATGACTCATAAAAACAAAATGCTCTGTAAATAATAATGGCATGCGTTATGAATGACCAAATGATACATATTGTTCTCTGATAACTCTTTTAAGAGAGAGTAACATAACTGTTTGCAAATTCTGAAAATAGTTGAGAATGGCATTTTACAAAGTAAGTACTCCAGAACACCAGGCTAATGAAACATTCATCAGATTAGTGCTAAATAAGTAGGAAATACTCTATATTAAAGCCTCCTTTTGGAGACTGACAGTATTGTGAAGTCTTATACTAACATCATTCAATAATCTTTAAACCATCATTTTCCAAAATGATTTTACTAAAGAAGCCTCTTAAAGTAAGACTGTTCACATTTGTAGGTGTGGCACTCTTTGACATATACTTTGAGAAACAGTGGCTTCAACTATCTGAAGTTTACCTGCTTTTCAGTCATGAGTCTGTCTGATGATCTGCTGGATTCCTGGGCTTTAGGGGCTGCTGTAGATATAGTTTCTTTTGTAGAGTCAAAAGAAGTAGGGATTGGCAATAAAAAACTGTAACTTGCCTAAATTAAAAAAGAGAAAAGTACAAAAGGTGTTAAAAGAAAATTATTATTTAAAGGAACCTACTATTCTTGGGCAATTAAAGCATTCCTAAGTTAAAACTTTTACAACTTCTAAGAAAACTGATTTTAAGAATGATTAGAATAAACTCTATCTTATAATGTTCTCCTCTAGAAAGAAAACATGGAGTTTTACACACATACACACAAAGAAAACTATTTGTTTTAACTAGATAATGTGAAAAGCAGGCTATGCTAATAAACTAACTTATTTTTTGAAAGCTGCTTCCCAAAATACTAAAAGAATTGTGTCCGACGCAAAGGTACAGAACAGTCCAACAATTCACTGGACTAACTCCAAGGGTGAATGGACTGGCATATTCTTAGGTGGTCTTTACTTCTAAGCAGATCAGAAGCCAGCAACAAAGGATTCTGATTCAGTCCACCCTACCATCACTTGCTCTTGTTGCCTAAGACTGCGATTCTACAGGAAAATTTCCTTGGATTCTGATATCTAATTCCTCCTTTCCAGAGGTACAATCACACACACACATTCCCACACACATTCATTAGCATCATGTAATCTTAGAGCTTGAGAGAACTTTGGAAATTGTTTAATCCAAAATCTCTAGCTGTCCACGCCTGACAGGAGAGAGTGATGGGAGAACCATACCAATATATCAGGTGCCATAAGCATCTGAGACCCAGAGAAACAAAATGATCTTCCCAGGATTTGTTAGTAGTTTAGCATTTCTTGCAAAGAACCCTCTGTCCTTCCACATCTGCTTTAGATAGTAAAATCCAACTAAACAATTTACTAGTCACCAATACTTCATTTTCAGCTAAACCTGGTGACATGTTACAAATTCTCAAATTCTGTCATTTTTGCTGCTTGACATCATAGAGTACTCTCTCCTCTTTAAACTTTGGACTCCTTCAACAGCTCAATCATCACTATGCTTATCCCTCCCACTTGTATTTTAAATTAAGATACTTTGAGAATATTAGTCAACTTCAGTAACTACCACTTTTTAGCTAGTTTTTACACTTTTCTTTATAGAGAAATTCTCAAAAATGCACAAAAGTAGAGAAAGAGTACAAGAACTCATGTATTCATTACTCTAGTTTCAATGATAACCAACTTTTTTCTGTACTTCTTTCGTTTCTTCCTCACCCACTTACTGCTTCAGTATACATCTCTAACAAACACTCTTTAAATGTAACTTCAATACCATTGTCACACCCGATGAAATTAACAATAATTCCTTACTAATCACTAATATTTAGTCCATGCTCAAATTTTTTGTTTTTTTCCCCAAATCAGGATCCAAATTAGTTCCACATATAGCACTCTTAAATTTCTTTTAATTTGAGAGTCTCACTTGCTTATCTCCACACTTTTTTTTTTTCAAACCTGCCATTTATGTGTTGAAGAAATAGGCCATTTGTCTTACAGAATAACTCACATTTCAGTTGGGCTTATTGTATTCTTACCATTTAACATATTTCTCCATCCCCTACTTCTTGTAAACTGATTACATTCAGAGGTTTTATTAAATTCAGGTTCAGTATTATTTGCCAAGAATACTTCAGAGGTGATGCTGTGTTCTTCCTACTACTACTACCATCAGGAGTCAGTCAGAGTTGGGAAGAAAATGCCTGTAGACCAGACATAAGGTTGGCATATATCAATGTAATAGACTCTTCTTGTATTCTGACAAGCTCCCTAACAGCCACACGAGGCCTCTTTCAAATCTTCAAAGTGTCATCTTCCTCTAGGTTCTAGGCCTAAGCACTCTTATCCTCTTCACTTAGTTAACTCCTACCTGATTTTCAGATCTTGACTCAAATTTCCTTCTTCAGGGAAATCTCCCCTGATCCCATGACTAGATGAGGTCCTCTTGTTATATGATCTTATAGCACTATAAAGAGCAAAGTATGAAGGTTTAGAGCTCAGAGTCAGGTGACCTGAGTGACTATCAGCTTAACTATTTATTAAACTCTGTGATATGGAAAAACACATTAACATCTTTGATCCTTGGTTTCTTCATTTGTAAAAGAGAAAACATACTAATACCTATATCTCATAGGCTGAATTAAGTCAGACAACACACAGAAAGTATTTGGAACAAATAACTGGCACATAGAAACTTACAGATGATTGGTAGTCATTGCTATATACGTAAGTATGCTAAACAAAACAGATCTTACCTAATCAATCATACCATTCATTGTACACTATCTTGGACTTTTTCTACAAATTACTCAGCTAATTATCTGATACAAGTTTTTTACATGAATTCATCTAGATAAGACTAAATTCCATGAGATCAGTAGACTAAGTTCCATGATCACTTTTTGGTAATACTAGGGTAGGTAACTCTGCCTCTAAAGGACAATGAAGAAAGCTGAATAAAAATGTTTAAAAATGTTTTCTTCTTATAAGCATTAAAGAAATAACAAGATAATGACATTACCAAGGGGAAAAAAAATCAAGATGAAAACTCACTTTTTTCCCTGAAGGCATCTGCCAAATTCAAAGGAAGAGCAATGAAAATAAATGCTACAAATCAAAGCCACCTCTCTACTCCCATTTGAAGTTGTTACCTTGAAAGGCTGTAATTCTCAGGACTGGGTGAACCAGAAGTAAACCTCTCCCACAAACTGAAACCTGGCTTCCTTTCCTCTGAGTCATTTCAGTTATCTCAAGAAGGTCCAAAATTAATAGTGCTTCCATTTATTTACCAATTTTCAAGAAAATGAGTTGGTTCCTTATCTTCTGAAGACAATTCTTTTTTAAAAATCTAGTACCAGTATGAGGTCATGAATTTAAATGTATTTTATGAGTGTCAGTTCATTGCAATTATTATATAATATAATTGAAGCTCATGTGGTCTCATCTTTGACTGCTGGGAACCTATTCAAATCTATCCTTTTGATACGATCCTACTAGTCTTTAATAGCTTCCTTGCTGTCTGATATCTTGAAACAGCTCTGTCCCAAATCTGAAATCATCCATTTCTTCACATTCAGGAGGAGAGGATTCTGGGAAGATGGCAGAGTAGGAAGCACCAAGAATGCGTCTCCCTGCCTAGAAAACAACTGCACTGGCAGAATCTGTCTCATGTTAACTATTTTAGAACTCTAAGTCTATTAAGGCTTGCAAATTCCAGGGAAGGCTTAGATGATAATTTGTGGTTAATTTCAGTCAGTTCAGCACTCAGCACTTACCCGTTCCCCATCCTCAGTCTTAAGGCAGGCAGCTATACAGTGTACCAAGAGCAGCTTTCACCCAGTCTGTGTGAGTCAGGGTGGGCAAAAAGGACTCTTAGCCAAATATCAAGATTCTGTGATCTGATCACTGATTGCTGCTTCTGATATCAGATGAGCAGACAAAGAGGCAGGGGTCTTGTACTTCCTCCCATTGTTATAAGCCCCTTCCAATTCTGGCTAAAGTGATTTCCAGGGAATTTAAATGGCCATTGTCCTTTTCGTCCCCTCTTTGCTTTTCTCTTTTTCCTCTTTTGGGAGACAAATATTAAAAACTAGGACATTCAAAAGTAAATGCAAAAAATAAAAAATAAAAGCAAATGCATTTGTGGGGAATTAGAGAGTAACTGCACATGCCCACAGAAAGGTACAAGCTAAAAAAGACCTTCAGTTTATACTTCACACTGATCCTCAGCACAGAGACAACCACAACAGTTTAAAACAAACAAACAGAAACGAAACCCAGCAAACCTTGGAGAAGGAGGAGAATCTGATTTCTAGAGATACCATATTATTAGATTCAAATGTCCAGTTTTCAACAAAAAGTAACAAGGCATAGAAAGAATCAGGAAAGTATGGCCTATTCAAAGGAAAAAAACAAATCAACAAACTGTCCCTAAAAAAAAAGACTTGACAGCAGATTTACTAGACAAAGATTGTAAAACAACCATCTTAAAGATATTCAAAAGACTGAAGGAAGGTGTGGAGAAAAATCAAGAGAACAATACATGAACAAAATGGGAATATCAATAAAGAAAGACAGAAAACCTAAAAAGAAATGAAAAATTCTGGAGTTGAAAAGTACAACAACTGAAATGAACATCTCACTAAAGGCATTCAAAGGCAGATTTGATCATACAAAAGAAAGAATCAGTAAATCTGAAGACAGGACAATGGAAATTATCAAGTCTAAGAAACAGAAAAAAAAATTAATGGAACAGAAAGAAAAAAATTGAAGAGTGAACAGTGCCTAAAGGACCTATGAGACATCATCAAGTGGGCCAATATACGACTTGTGGGAGTCCAAGAAGGAGAAAAGGAAGAAAGAGTGGCAGAGAGGTTATTTCAAGAAATGATGGCTGAAAATTTCCCAAATTTGTTGAAAGATATGAATATATACATTCAAGAAGCTTGATAAACTCAAAGAGACCTACACCAAGAACTATTATAAGTAAACCTTTGAAAGACACACACAAAGAGAGAATCTTCAAAACAGCAAGTGAAAAGTGACCCAACACATATTAGGAATCACCAATAAGATTACCAGCAGATTTCTCAACAGAAATTTTGGAGACCAGAAGGTAGTGAGATGAAATACTCAAAATGCTAAAAGAAAGAAACTGTCAATCAAGAATCCTACATCTGGCAAAACTATTCTTCAAAAGTGAGGAAAAAATTAAGACATTTCCAGATAAACAAAAGCTGAAGGAGTTTGTTACCATTAGACCTGCCCTACAAGAAATACTAAAGGAGTCCTGCAGGTTGAAATGAAAGCACACTAGACAGTAAATCAAAGCCATATGAAAATAAGCTTAAGATATCAATACAAGTAAGTGGCATGGCAAATAAATGGGCAATTATCAAAGGTAGCAACTAACATTACAACAAAGATCTGTAAGTCCCACTTTTTGTTTTCTACATGATTTAAGAAACAGATAATTGTTTAAAAAGCAATCATTAGTCTAAAAGCTAACATTTTTTTTAACTTTGGTTTATCACATCACATCTCATTCTCTACCTAATTTAAGAGACTAAATTCATTTAAAAGAATTATTAATTTATGGTTTTGGGAACACATGTATAAAGAGATAATTGTACAACAGTGACAACTGAAAGAGGTGAGGATAGAGCTGTAAAGGAGCAGAGTTTTTGTTATTTAAGTTAAGCTGTTATAAATTCAAACTTGAGTGTTATAATTTTATAATGTCAAATGTAATCCCCATGGTAACCACAGAGAAAATAGTGATAGAATATACACACACAAAAAAAAGTAAAGAGAAATATTTCACCACGTAAAAAAATCAACTAAACACAAAAGAATACAGGATATAAACAAAAATGCCGTAAGATTTTATGAAAAACAGCAAAATGACAGAAGTCAGTCCCTACCTATCAGTAATCACTTCAAATGTACATGGATTAAACTCTTGACAGATTGTCAGAATGAGTTTTTTAAAAATATGAGGCAATTATGTGTGTTTAACACAGACCCCCTTTGGGTCCAAAGACACAAAGAGGTTGAAAGTGAAAGGATGGTAAAAAATATTACATGAAAATAATAACCAAAAGAAAGCAAGGGTGGCTATATTAGTATGAGACAAAATGGACTTAAAATCAAAAACGTTTACTAGAGACAAGCACATTACATATTAATAAAAGATTAATACAGCAAGAATATGTAACAATTATAATACTTATGCACTTAACAACCAAAACATATGAAGCAAAAACTGAAAGAATTGAAGGAAGAAACAGTTCTACAATAATAGCTGGAGACTTTAACACTCCATTCTCAATAATAGAACAATCAGACAGAAGTAATGAAACAGAGTATTTGACACAATAAACCAACCAGATCTAACAGATTTATAAAGAACAGTCTACCCAACAACAGAATACAGTCTTCCAAGGGTGCAGGGGACATTTTCCAGGACAGACCATGTGTTAAGCCACAAATTAAGTCATAATAGATTTTAAAAGATAGATTTCATACAAAGTATATTCTCTGACCACAAAGGGATGAAGTTAGAAATCAGGAACATAAGTTAAACAAAAATTCATAAATTTATGGAAATTAAACAACACACTTCTAAAATAATGGATGAAAGAAGAAATCACAAGAGAAATTAGAAAATACTCAGAGATGAATGAAAATGAAAACACAACATACCAAAACTCATGGGACACAGTGAAAGCAGTGCTAAGGGTGAAATTTAGTTATCAGTTTACATTAAAAAAACATGAAAGATCTCAAATTAGCAACCTAATTTTACTACTCAAGGAACTAGAAAAAGAACAAACTAAACCCAAAGCTATCAAAAGGAAGAAAATAATGAAGATTAATTAGAGCAGAAATAAAGGAAATAGATGATAGGAAAGCAACAGAGAAAGTCAATGAAATAAAGATATCTGAAAAGATCAACAAAACTGACAAATACTTAGGTAATGGAGAGGAAAAAAGACAACACTCAAATTATTAAAATCGGAAATGAAAGTGGGGACATTATGAAAAAGTATAAGAGAGTACTATGAACAACTGTTTGCCAACAAATTAGATAACCAAAATGAAATTAATTGGACAAATTCCTAGAAACACAAAACCTACTAGCACTAAATGACAAAAAAAAAAAAACAGAAAAACTTAATACACCTGTAACTAGTAATAAGACTGAATCAGTAATCAAAAAACTCCCAATTATAAAAAAGCCTTGGACCTGGTGGCTTCATTGAGGAATTCCACCAAACATTTAAAGAACTACTAACAATCCTTCTCAAACTTTTACAAAAAATTAAAGAGGAGGGAACACTTCCTAACTTATTCTTGGAGGCCAGCATCACCCTAACATCAAAGCAACACAAAGACAATACAAGAAAACTAAAGACCAATATTCCTTATAAACATTGATGCAAAAATCCTCAACAAAATACTAGC